TTTTTCCACCCCTTTACCTTAAGTTTATGTGAGTCCTTATATGTTAGGTGGGTCTCTTGAAGGCAGCAAATAGTTGGTTGGTGAATTCTTATTCATTCTGCAATTCTGTATCTTTTAACTGGAGCATTTAAGCAATTTACATTCAATGTTATTTCAATGTTAGTATTGAGATATGAGGTCCTGTTCCATTCACTGTGCTATTTGTTGCCTGTATACCTTGGTTTTTTTTGTTGTTGTTGTTTTTGTGTTTTGTATTTTTGTTGTATAGGTCTGTGAGACTGATGCTTTAAAGGGGATCTATTTTGATGTGCTTCCAGGAGTTGTTTCAAGATTTGGAGCTCCTTTTTGCAGTTCTTGTAGTGCTGGCTTGGTAGTAGTGAATTATCTCAGCATTTGTCTGAAAAAGACTGTATCTTTCCTTCATTTATGAAGCTTAGTTTCACTGTATACAAAATTCTTGGCAGATAATTGGGTTTTTTTTTAAGGAGACAGAAGACAGGGCCCCAGTCCCTTCTAGCTTTTAGGGTTTCTTCTGAGAAATCTGCTGTTAATCTGATAGATTTTCATTTATAGATTACCTTTTACTTTTGCCTCATAGCTCTTAAGATTTTTTCTTTCATCTTAACTTTTGATAACCTGATGAGAATGTGCCTAGGTGATGATCTTTTTGCAATGAATTTCCCAGGTTTTCTTTGACCTTCTTGTAATTGGATGTCTAGGTCTTTAGCAAGGCCAGGGAAGTTTTCCTCAATTATTTCCCCAAATATGTTTTTCAAACTTTTAGATTTCTCTTTTTCCACAAGAATGCCAATTATTCTTAGGTTTGGTTGCTTAACATAATCTCAGATTTCTTGGAGGCTTTGTTCATTTCTTCTTTATTTTTGTTGGATTGGATTAATTCAAAAGCCTTGTCTTCGAGCTCTGAAGTTTTCATCTGCTTGCTCAATTCTATTGCTGAGTTTCCAGAGCATTTTGGATTTCTCTAACTGTATCCATTGTTTCCTGAAGTTTTGATTGTTTTTTATTTATGCTATCTATATCATTGAAGGTTTCTCCCCTCAATTTTTCTTTTTTTGTATTTTTTTCTTTCTTTTTAGTAGAGATGGGGTTTTGCCATGTTGCTGAGGCTGGCCTTGAACTTCTGGCCTCAAGTGGCCCCCCGCAAACTGCTAGGAGTACAGGCATGAGCCACCATGCCTGGCCTCCCCTCATTTCCTGTATCTTTTTTTTTTTTTAATTTCTTTAAATTGGGCTTCATCTTTCTCTGGTGCCTCCTTGATTAGCTTAATAACTGACATTCTGAATTCTTTTTCAGGTAAATCAGGGATTTAACCTTGGTTTGGATACATTGCTGATGAGCTAGTGTGATTTTGTGGGGGTGTGAAAGGGCCTTGTTTTGTTATATTACCAGAATTGTTTTCCTAGTTCCTTCTCATTTGGGTAGACTATGTCAGAGGGAAGATTTAGAGCTCAAGGCTGCTGTTTAGATTGTTTTGTCCCACGGTGTGTCCCCTTGATGTAGTACTCTCCCCCTTTTCCTAGGGATGTGACTTCCTGAGAGCCAAGCTGTAGTGATTGTTTCCTGTCTTCTGGATCTAGCCACCCAGCAGGTCTAACAGACTCTGGGCTGGTATTGTGGGTTGTCTGCACTGAGTCCTATGATGTGAATCATCTGCAGGTCTCTGAAGGCTGTATATTTTTTAAACAACTGGTTTGTGATCTGCAATTGGCATAACATTCCTATTGTCACACATGTATTCATATATTTGCAATTAATTCAGAGGTACTGACATGTAACTAGTGGATAAGTTTGTTGTCACATTTATTAAACTGATTTTAAAAGATAGATCTGTTATTTGGGCAAGAGTTGAATGAAGCTCAATAAGTGCTCCTTCCCTCCTCCTTGTCTTCCTCCAGCAGGTCTTGCTGTGTGGCCCAGGCTGAAGTGCAGTGGCATGATCACAGCTCATTGCAGCCTTGACCTTCTGGGCTCCAACAATCTTCCCACCTTAGTTTCCTGAGTAGCTGGAACCAGAATCACACACCACCACACCTGGCTAGCTTTTTAAAGTTTTTTCATAGATAAGGGGTTGCACTATGTGGCCCAGACTGGACTTGAACTCCTGGGTTCAAGTGGTCCCCTGCCTCAGCCTCCCAGAGTGCTGGGATTACAGGCATGAGCCATTGTACCCTGCCAAATAATTTATTTTTTAACCAAACTTTTAAAGCATTGTAACCATTATAGAGTTTTGCTATTGTCTTCCACTTTTAAAAGCTAATGGAAGAGAAACTGGAAATTCTGACTCTTGAATAATTCCTGTTATTTCCCATAATCAACTATAGAAAAATCTAAATTGTGCCTTTAAAGTTTTAGGTTTTTAAGAGAATACATAAAAGTTTACTTCAGAGTATTTTATATTTTGGGGAAATACTTCCTATCCTGTTCAGGCTGGTATATTCCATCCCTGTCTCAGCCAACACCTTAACTCCCGAATTTCCTAAATACAACTTTCTCATAATTCAGAGTCTTTGTCAGATCTCTAAGAGGTCTTAGCAGATGCCAGGACTGTCCATCTTTCCAAACATTTTCATGTATTTACTTCAAAACAGTTGATAATCTATTGTTTTTGGTTTTCTTCTGTCTTATCTCTGGTAGATAGTAAATATTCCCCATATTGTAATGTTTAATACAGTTCCAAGTTTGTCTGTGTGGTGGAATGTCAAGATTGTTCATTGTAAATTTGTGGCCAGTGAACAGTGGCACATATTTGTATTTATGCATGTGTGCTTAGACTCTCTGTAGTACAGCAAAAATTTTAGTCCGTAGCAGAAAAACACTAACCCTGATGTACCCAAAGCTTCCAGTGTTTGAGGGTAATAATTTAGATGGCTCAGAACTATGTCGCACATGTGATATAGCAAGAGAGCAAGTGAGATAGAGCACAATGTAGATATAGCTTCACTTTAATCTGAAGCATTTGCAAGTTGCTGGGCTTAGGTGATTCTTTATCCAGAGGACTCCCATAGGGGCTGGATTAATTTCTAAGACTGGAGAATCCCAACCTACTTTAGTAGATAATCCTAGCGGGAGGCCTTTCAAAGTGCTGGGGGTCAAGGGGCTGTCCCTACTTCAGAGTAAGGCAATATTGCGACTGCACCCTATTCTTCTGAAGTCTTTTTGGATCATCTCATTTGCAGAAATCCTCTCTTACCTGTCTGGTACACATTTTGTTGTTTTTAAGAGATAGTGTCTTGCTGTGTCACCCAGGCTGGAGTGCAATGGTGCAATCATAGCTCATTGTAACCATGAACTCCCAGGCTCAAACAATCCTTCCACCTCAGCCTCCTGAGTAGGTAGGATTAGAGGTGCATACCACCACGCCTATCTAATTAAAAAAAAAAAAGGAGGGCTGGGCCCAGTGACTCATGCCTGTAATCCCAGTACCATGGGAGGCTGAGGTGGGTGAATTGCTTGAGGTCAGGAGTTCAAGACTAGCCTGGCCAACATGGTGAAACCCTGTCTCTACTAAAAATACACACAAAAATTAGCCAGGCATGGTGATGCACACCTGTAATCCCAGCTACTCAGGAGGCTGAGGCATGAGAATCACTTGAACCCAGGAGGCAGAGGTTGCAGTGAGCTGAGATCACACCACTGCACTTCAGCCTGGGTGACGGAGAGAGACTCTGTCAAATAAATAAATAAAATTTTGTAGCAACAGAATCTATGTTGCCCAGGCTGGTCTCTAACTCCTGGCCTCAAGCAATCCTCCCACATTGGCCTCCCAAAGTGCTGAGATTATAGGCATGAGCCACCATGCCTGGCCTGGTACACTCTTTATCCAGCATAATTGGGGTATTTTAACATAATCTATACAGCCTTTCAGTTTATTTTTTTTTTTGAGATGGAGTCTCCCACTGTCGCCCTGGCTGAAGTGCAGTGGTATGATCTTGGCTCACTGCAACATCCACTTCCCTGGTTCAAGTGATTTTCCTGCCTCAGCCTCCCAAGTAGGTGGGATTACAGGTGCCTGCCACCAGTCCTGGCTAATGTTTTTGTATTTTTAGTAGAGACTGGATTTCACTATGTTGGCCAGGCTGGTCTTTAACTCCTGACTTTGTGATCTGCCCACCTCAGCCTCCCAAAATGCATGGATTACAAGCATGAGCTATGACACCCGGCCACCTATCAGTTTATTCTACACAAGTGATACAGAGATCAGTGGTAAAGTTGTGATGAACAGCATCCAAGATTCAGAAGCAGCATATTACTTCAAGCAACTTACCAAAACCACATATACAAAGAGCAGTCATGACTCCAGAGAAGAAAAAAAAAAAATCCCGATTTAGATCTAGTCCTACAATATCCAAGACCCCATCTACATCTCCAGACTCTGCCCCTCCCTCAGTAGTCTCAGGCCACGTTCACCTGTTTGTCTTCTATGATGCCTACAGGACTCCCTGCCTCAGCTTCTTTACATTTGTTCTCTCTGCTGAACACTCATAGCTCAAACATCCTGAGAGACCTTTCCTGACCACCCAAATACAAATAACTTCACCCCATTTCCCAAATCAGTCTCTATCACATTACCCTATGTTATTTCTTCTACTGCATTATCACTATCTAAACTTCCTATTTGCCAACTGTCTCTCTACTAATATGTGATACATGAGGTCAGGAGACTTCATCTGTGTTTTCCTCAGCTGAATCCCCAGTGTCGAGCATAGTATCTGGATCATAGTAGATGATAAATTTGTAAATGGATTGATTCACCTGAATTATTTCAGCACAAACTAAATTTTAGTAATCACACAGATGGTTTTTAATAATTCTTCATATTTGAGAACAAAAGAACTACCCTCATCTTCAAAGAAATTATGAAATACAATTTTTTTGTTTTACTAACTCATTTAAGAATTGTTTTCTTTTCTGGAAAATAAACTTATGCTAGACAAATTTTCAAGGCTGAATATTTTTCTTCAAATGAAATACAGACACATTTCTACATACACAGCATTTTTATTAAATATACTCTGTGAGAAAAAGAACACCCTAAAGTGCCAGATTTCTTGTAAATCTGATAACTTAGTAAATACAATGGTGAAAAAAAAATCAGAGGAAACATAATTTAAATAATCTTACAAAAGAGCAAGAACATATCTTAATCTTCATATAAGAAAGCAATCATTAAAATACTGTAGAAGAATATATTTCAAAATTCCACCTGTTGATCATTTCATTTAAAAAATTCTAAACACATGGGCAGTCTCACTCTTACCAACATATGTGTTTAAATCAATGGTAGTAGGGGAATTTAGACTACTCATTCACACTGACATAAAGTGACATTTTTGCTGCACAACAGTATTGCTTACTGGCACTAACAGTGGAAGATGGAGGAAGTAGATTTCTGGATTCAATTGTTAGCAGCAGAAATGAACTAATGCTAAAAATTTAGAAAAAAAAAAATAGGTCCAAGCTGTAGCTACTTCCAAGTAACACAAACATTAACCAAACATTGCCAATTTGTAATGGGCTGTGAAAAAAACATGAAAATACTCTACATTGAATATTAGCTTTATGTTACTTTCTATTAAAGACATTCAGTGAGCATATTCTAAATTATATAGGGTATCTATAGAGACCTAAATTAGCAAGTATAATACGAAGCTAACAGGATAGTGTCAACACATCTTGGGATGTTCTAGCCAATGTTTGTCTACAAGTATTTGGAAGGAGTCAAATAACTATATGTGCATTCAAAATGAATACTTATAAAAAGAAATCTTAATGTATCAGATATCCACAGACTAAAAAGTGTTACACATGTTGTGGGGGAAGAAACACTGATGGTTGGCTGAATGACCAATTAATTATACATACCACTTATGAAAAGCTGGGTGATTGAGGTGCAAAAAAAGAAAAAACATATATGCACACATATATCTCTAGTAACATCCTACCAACATATATATGTTACATGTCATAGTTAAAGCTGTATTACCAAACTAGGATATGTAAGGTATCAACGCAGCTAAAATTAAGTTTTAAGTAAAAAGCTGCTGCTACTTAACAAGGGAGTGAACTTTGGGGTTTATTCAAGAATTAGTTCTCATTTATAAAAAAGTTTGATATTAATAAACAATACCTGTCACCATAAGGTTTTAGACAGTATAGAAACTTACAGAAAAGTGTTTTTGGACCACTTTAAATAGTTGGAGGAAGCAAATAAAACTGGATTATGAGTATGAATGCATTTAAGATCAAAATTAACACACAAAAATCAAAACACATTTCACAGCAGAACTTGCAAAAACTTTTGTATTCATCTTTTTTGAACTATAAAAAAGAATGAATTAGTCTTGTGTTAATAAGACTTTTAAGCAACAAAATAATTTAATCATGAAGTATCAGCTTGATTATGAATATATTCTATTATCTGTATCAGCTGGTAAATTAACTGTGTTATTCAAAAAGGCTGACCAGCTCTAACTAGTATGAACAGGATATTGAATTCATTAATGAATATATAACTATTTTGAGCATACAAATAATCTCTGGTTTTATATCCACTACATTTTAGAATTCTGTAAACTGTCAGGCATAGAATATGTTTAATGTGGCAGAAAATCATATAAAATGATTATTTTATTCTGTTCAGTCCTTTTCCCATTAAGCATGCAAACACCGTCATAACCATCTTTGGTTTCACTTCTACGAGGTCATCAGGTAATGCATATATCCGGGCACCGATCTTTCGAGCAACTGAAATGGCATATCTTGAAGAGACAAGAAAAATATCTTGGTATTAACCATTGTGTTTTTACTTAACATATTTTAACTAAATAGTGAAATATTTTGACAAGATTAGTTTTATGAAAAGGCTAAGTTTGTGAGTCTTAAATCATATTCCCATACAAGTTGTATTTAAAAATATGAATTTTAAGGGCATAGTAACCTTTCCTATAAGGATTTTAGAGAATTACGGGGTCACTGTGTTCTAATATTAATCATAAAGGCTTACTTAGCATTGTTCAGCTTGTCCTCATCAGATAAGTTTTCTCTCTTGATCATTTCTTGACGAACTGCATTTGGTGCAATGGCATCTATTAAATCTAGGACAGGTAAACTTGTGCTTATAGATTTATCCTAGAAAACAAAGCACAGATGAACCTTCCTAAACATCTGACCTTTAATTTTCGTTATTTTCAGACTCTTCTGATCATATAACTGAAGGCAATCTATAAATTTTCTTTGTACCTAACATTCAGCTTTTCTGCAACCAGCACAATAAATAAACAATTTAAAATACACTTTTCCTTAAATCTTTATATAAATTACATATAATTTATATATAGGTATAGAGTTATCACCATACCTGAATAAGGTTTGTGGACATTATAGCTCTTAAGAATGCTAACTATAGTATCCATTCTTTAAAAAATATACAACTTTTGAAAGGGAGTAGGAAAGGAATTTTTAATTAACAATTTTACAAATTCTACTCATATATTTCTTAGATCATGAATCCCTATGCCTTCCCTTAATATTTTTCAGAAAGAAAAATGAAATAGTGAAAGGGAACTATTATTTAAAAAGACATTGTTCTTGTTGTTTTACATGTTTTAGTTTGTTTCATCCTCCTTCGAAACCCTAGCATCTTCGTAGTAAAGGAATTCTCTTTTTAAAAAAGATGAAGAACATGAAGTTAAGATAGCTCAAATGACTTATTTACACAACCAGTAAATACAGAGCTGGTATTTGAACCCATGACAGTCTGACTCTAAAATGCCCAAGAGTCTCTCCATTTTGAAGTCACCACCAAGGCAAGCTAAAAATGGACAACTAAATTATAGTGAATAGTTCATTGCAGATGAAATCAGACATCCTGGTCTGAACTGATTTTTACCACTTATCAGCATGTGAACAAATTATTTGTTCTCTCTCTCAGCTTGAATAGTGGCCACCATTGCTTGCCTACCCAGAATCTACCCACTCTTTACTCTTCCATACCAGCAGAACCCATATTTTTGCTCTATATCCATACCTCCTTCACATAGACAAGCTTCAGGGAAGGCTGACATTCACAGTTCCAGGAGTGAACCTGAATTAATCTAGGTCAAGCATTCTCAGTAGGGACAGGGTGATACCCTTTTTTTATGTATAAAGCATACAGTGCATAAACAGGTATATAGTGTATCTCTGCATTAAAATTTCATGGGAGAGAGACAAAAAGGGAAAAAAGGTCTAAAAAGATTCCTTAGAGGATAGTTTTTTTAAAGGTTTCAAAACACTGCTCTAAGCCAAATGGAGGAATCTTATTCTATGACTACAGTGATTTAATTTGGGCCTATTTTATGGAAAGCCAGGAACCCCTCCTCCTGGATGTGAATGAGAGGATGAAATCTCTGTCACCATCAGCAACCATCCTGACCAAAAGGAAAACCAGCTTTAGGGTGAAGTGGGCACATTGGATGGCAAATCAGAGATGTGAAAAAATAACTGAGTCCTGAATGACATTCTTCAATTTTGTTCAACCAATCCAGAAGTCTACCCTGCTTCTGGATTACTGTTATTGTAGTCAATACCTTTCCTTTTGGTTTAAACCACTCAAAATTGGGTTTCTGTTTACTTGAAGCCAGAGCACCCTTTCCTAATCTCTAAAGTAGAGTATCATAGGATTCTTAGGAATACTGAGGTGAAAGCATCTAGTATAGGCTCTAGCCAAATGTCAGTTCTTAATAAAGGCCTAATAAAACAACTTGAAGCCGTGTGAAGAAGAGTAACAGGCTTCTTTGAGCCATGATCTATGAGCCACTTCATTTATCAATTTTAGGAAAATGTATATTCTTATTAGGAATGTTCATTTTATGATATAGATCTTTGGGCACGGATAACAGATAGATGGTAAAAATAATTGGAGTCTTTAAGTCTATCTGATGCTGGTAATCTGGATCTGCTTTTCACATCTTCTGTTTCTGAGAAATTGTCATACCTGCTTGCTCAATATATAGTCTGCAGACCACCTACATTAAAATCATATGGGGTACTTGTTAAAAGTGCAAATCTAGCCCCACTCAAATGAATATCAGGTTATCTATGAATAAGGATGGGAATCTACATTTTTAGTAAGCTTTTTAGAGGACTCTAAAGGTGTACTGTATTATACTTTCTAAAAATATTTGTATCATTCTATAATAAATTTTTCATTTCTGTGGGCTTACCTTTCGAATACGATTTTTTTTAAAAGACAAGTGACTTGTTTAATTGTGCTATAATTTGATTCCTTATTTACACATTTGTGGCATTTTAAATATTTTATTTAGATTTAGGAAAAAAGTATTTTCCCACCCATTTTCTTATAAGTTACCTTGGGTAAAGCTTCTACTGAGTTGAATGAAAAATTTAAGTTTCTAAAGATTGTGTCAGATCTCTTGTCTTCTTATTACCAAGAAAATAGGCCTGTCTTCTGATTCCTCTGATTTGTACATTATCAGTGAAAGACATTTTACTTTTGCAAAGGGAAAAGGGTTATAGTGAAAACCCTTACATTAGTATATAAATATATTACCATTATTTTTACTTTTAATTCCTTAAGTTAAACATCAGAAAATTACTTCAGCAAGAAGAATTTCAGTATCTTAATCTAGAATTAGCCTAGAGCTTGATTTTCAAGATAATGAATTGTGTCATCTTTTTCCCTTCATTTGATACATATTATAAGAACATTTCATTCCATTGCTGTTTCTGTCATTTTAAAAAATAAAAGTGGAAAAACAGTGATGTGGCCACCAGACTTCCCTAAAAGACTCAGCAGAACACTCCCCCAACTGCCACATGAGGCCCTTTATATATTAGCAATGCCAACAGCGTGGTAATCCCCATTTATTGAGCCCTTCATATGTGCTAGGTATGGTTAAGCTCTTTATATTTTGTTAACTTATGTAGTCTAATAACAATCCTAAAAGATAGGGATTATTGATTTCCCCATTTTAGATATGGGGAAACTAAAGAACTGAGAAATTAATAACTTGCCCATGGTCACACAGATATAAATGCTGAGCCAGAAGTAAGTTCTGTTTTATTCATCAGTAGATTAGCCCCACTGTTAGTATAAACTGCTAAGGTTTCTGTAAAACAGATGCCCTTCTCATGTGCTCCCACACTCCCCCATTAGCTGATTTATATAGTACTGCTGACACCCCCTACTGTGATTCTTGTTTTCTTATTTGCCACCTTCCCTGAATAGTGAGCTCTTTGAGGGAACTATGTAGCCACAGCTACTAGCAAGGCACCTGACACAGGGTAAGCTTTGGTAAGCTTTGGATACAGAATGAGCAGTATGTTACACAGCTAATCAGTACCTCAGCAAGAGTCAACCCAGAGCTATACAACTCCAAAGCCTGGCTTTCAACTTGTGTGTAGGTAGAATAGCTGAACCTGGATATGAAACCCAGCTGTTCTGCTTAAAAGTTGTATGACAGTGGACAGTTATTTAACTTCTCTAATGCTCACCTTTTTGCTCAGAGTATTTAGAGAATTAAAAGAAACAATGTGCAAAGTGCTTAACACAGTGATACAAAGGACTCAATAAACAGCAATTATGATTATTATTTGCTGATATACCACCTTCTCTGTCTTCTTAGTGAGGGAAAATCACTTTGTGGCTTAAAAGGGTAAATTTGTCTTTTCTGAAATTCTTACAGTGCTGCCTAAATTATGATTAAAATGGTTTTTTGTTTGTTTGTTTGTTGTTTTTCAATAGTGCCACTTATAGCCTTCAAACGTAATGCCTTCTGTAGCTGGAAAAACCTCCCTAACCTCAACTATTTTTTAGCATTCATTGCCACATTTCTTAACCATTTGCACTTTCTTTAAAGATTTTATCATTAAGAGTATACTAAATGCCAAGCACTTTTGCGATGTTTCTGCCTTCTCAGTTCTAAGTAGAGCCATACTCTCAAGTCAGCTTTTTCTCATGGTTGCTCTCCCTTAAAAGTTTATGCACTCCAATTTCTCAACTTTTATTCAACTGATCACCAAGTCTGTCTTTCCAGTTTTAATGTTTCCTTTCACCCCCTCCCCATTTTCCTAAAATTACTTCAAACTCAAGCTTAAAACTGAATTCATCACCTTTTCCAGGAAGCAGCTGTATCTCATGACATCCCCATTTCTGTTAGTGTTATCTGTTTTCCATTTACCTATGCCCAAAACATCAAGAGTTTTAACTCCTCACTCCCCTCTTCTTCCCAGAACCAAGAAGCCAAACCTAGTTCTTCTTTTGCAATAACTTATAGCGTTTCCATTGCCAGCCTCAACCCCCTTATTACTTCACACCTTGAGTACTGCCTTGGATTCTTTTGCACTGTCCTTGTAGTTACACTGTTCTCCCTTCCCACCCTGCTCACCACATTCAGATTAGTATTCCTAAAATAATTGCCTTTCTTATCCCCCTTCACTCAATATCTTTTATTTAGGCCCAATTCTTCCACAATCTTGACCCAATTTATATCTTGCACATCATCCCTTGGGAGCCTTCCTATTTCTCCCAATTTTCTGACACATGCCTTTATTCAAGATGGACCCTTTCTCTTGAATAAAGGCATGTGTCAGAAAGTTAGGAGAAATAGAATTTTCCCCCTTTTTCTCCATCAATTCAAATCGTCCCACCATCTATGATGTTCAGATCCAGCTGTCTTTATCTGCTCTTCACTGACCATTCAATTGGAAATGATCAGATTTTTCATCCAAAATATTAGTTGTATTACTTGGATTTTATCATTTACTCTATAGTATTGTTACCTTCTCAGCTACACAATCTTTGTCTTTAAAGCAAATGGTGAAGACTCAGAGGGCCAAATTAATTTCTTATATTTTATACCTTTTTCTTTACTTAGAAAAGTTACTTAATAAGAGCTCAATAAATATTAATTTGCTCCTAAACATTTTCTCATTGTAATGAACTATATACATGCTTAATATTTTTTATAAAAGTACAAATGCATATATAATTTCAACATAACAATTTTAAAGAACTGCCAATTAGAGAATTGTATAATACAATGCCCATTGCTTTTTTATATTTTTGTGTTTTACATCTAAAACACATAGAGACAAATCATTGACTGAAAATTTTTTTTTTTGAAAAAAATTAGCAGTAACAAAAACTCAATGTCATTAGTTTCTTCCAAGATAGTAAAGAGGGGAAAGAAAAGCACTTCAACTAGGATCAGGCAACATCCCTGCCAACATCCAGCTGCCCTGCTAAAACTGCTCTGGGCCTCAGTTTTTGGCAAACATGAGAAAGCTGCATTTATAAATTTCTGACATTTCTTTCACTTTGCAATGTTTTTAAGCATATAGAGCAAAGGCAGAGAGAGAGAGAGAGAGATAAAAATGGGTATCTCTTAGGATAGCTTAGTGTTTCATCTCTTTGTACTTTATTTCAGAAAAAAATACAAATTGATTGCTAGTTTCTCACACATAATAAAATCACAAACGCAAGACTCACTGAATGAATGTTGTACAAGCAGACATGCTTATTTGTAGCTAACATCGGCTTGCATGCAAAAGCAAAACACAATGGAAATGCATGAAAATTAGTGGGTATGTATGTACAGATTACATTGAGTGCTTTATGAATCATCCACAAATGCTCAGGAGTGAGTGTTAAGTGCCATTATGAAGCCAGATGACAAGATTTTTTTTCCTACCAGTTTTCTCAATTCCCACTTGAATCGGTTTGGCTGCCTCTGTTATGCCTTGGAAATGATGTCAATACAATTCTGAGACTGCTGCTAGGGAGCACAAAACATTATAGGTCCTATATAAATAATAGCTTCTTATCTTTTACATTTGACAACTGGATTTTTTTTTGGCTCTATTCTGTTTATTTTTTAAGATTAGATTACCAGAGTCAGATAATATTGACCTACATTTATACTTAACTGGACAACTAATAAAAAATTTAGTAATTAAAACTGAGTATTTCAAGTTTACACATGCCAAATAATTAGTATACCTAAACTCATAAATCATGTTTTGGACATACAACATTAATATGTACTCAACCAAACCAATGTAATTCCCAATAAAAATTTCTTCCTATACCTACAAAAAAAAATTTTTTTAAGACTCTTGATTACCTTGAAACTGGAAATAGAAGTATTTTTGTTTGTACTTTTAAGAGTCTGATTGACCCACTTAATAATAATTTCATCATTTACTTTTTCACCCTCTCCAAGATCCGATAACACATTCAATGTGTACCTGCAACAGAAAAGATGTACATTTGAGACTGAAAGGGGCAAAACTTGCTTTCATATAATTTATATCAACATTTAGATAAAGACTTAAGGAAAAGTTCAGTTTTAATAAATATTTCTAATTTTAGTCTGGCATCTGCACCCAGTTACATTCCAAAGTTACAAACCTCACTAATCAGAAAGAAAAACTACTACAGGGTATTTTTAAAACTTAATTACTTATGAAGCCATTTTTAAGAGGCATTAATAATGGTGATAGTGTTTCTGGATATTGACCCATTTTTAAATAAAATATAATTTCCAAAAATCGTAACAGTAAATCCTTTAAAAATTAAAATATTTTGCATTGTATATTTCTTCTATGTTCATTATTGTTCAAAAATAGCTATAAGTTTAGTTCAGATTACTTGTTGGAGGAAACAGGCAGTGCTGCTACAAACATTTCAGCCTTTACCTTCTCATCAGCTGCCATACCAATGCCAGGGTAAGTGTTGAATTCCCTTCATTTAGGTCCTGCCCAGCAATGCCAACCAAGGAGAATTTGGCCTTGTTCTTCCCAAGTTCCACTGCATAGTTACAGTTTTCAATCTATAAATAAGTAAAAGTTTGGATATAAAAACAGATTTTTAAAAACGTATCTCATGAATACGCCAACCTAGTTCAGCCATCCGAAAAATAATTATGATGACACCTTAAATTTATATGACCAAATTTCATTTCATAATAATAACCCAGGGAAAGCAAGGACATAATTATTTCCATTTTCTACTTGAAGATATTAAAGCACTGGGTTAACCTAGAAAGATGAACAACTGGCTGGAAAGTTTTAAGATCCCGTCCTACTCAAAGTCTTAACTATCCAGGCCTGGTGTGGTGGCTCACACCTGTAATCCTAGCACTTTGGGAAGCCGAGGCAGGTGGATCACTTGAGGTCAAGAGTTTGAGACCAGCCTGGCCAACATGGTGAAACCTCAGCTCTACTAAAAATACAAAAATCACCGTGATGGCAGGCGCCTGTAATCCCAACTACTTGGGAGGCTGAGGCAGGAAAATCACTTGAACCCAGGAAGTGGAGGTTGCAGTGAGCCAAGATTGTGCCACTGCACTCCAGCCGAGGCAACAGGCAAAAACTTCATCTCAAAAAAAAAAAAAAAAAAAAAAAAAAAAAAAAAAACGGGTTGACTATCCAAGATGAAATAGCTTATCAGTGACACATCTGTGACTAAAAACCTAGGTTTCCTAATTTCCTTGAATAGAAGTAATAGATGATGTTTTGTCTAGATCTATATTTAAAATTTAAAAATAGAGAAGAAAGTAATTGTTTTATTAAGAATCTAACTTCATCTCCTGTATTCTTTACCCAGATCTTACTCATCCTTTGACATTCAGCATTTGGCCCACTTTCTTCAACAAAGGCTTAACCTTAACTGTATATGAGCTAATAATGATCTATCCTTTGCTTGAAGTCCTAAGAATGTTTATTTTGTAATGTTTATGTATCATCTTCTACTTACACTTAGCCTTTCATTTGTTTTCTTTCAACTATAGTATAAGCTTCTTCTAAAGGACAAAAATTTTTATATGCACAAATCTATATCATACTCCATCATACTACCCCCACTCCCAGCACAATGCCCTGCCTAAAGTAAGAACCTGATACATAAACAACTAATAAATTATTTACCACCCCGTCAACTGCACACACACACATGCTTCTTTCCAGTAATTATAAGTCCAGTTAGGTCCTTTCTCTAATAACTTTTTTTGGTCTATCCTGCAGTCAATAGGTTTTTTTTTTTTTTAATCTCCATCATCTAATGCTGTGTTTCTTACACCAAGACCTGTAAGTTCTTATGTATCTGAGTCTTTTTGCTCCAATGAAATTATAAGCTCTCATAATCTTACAGTATCACCAGTAGGAACAAAAGTGCTTACTAAGTACTTTCTAGAATAAACAATTAAAAAGAAAATACTATTTTTCTTAATTTTCTTCCACAAGTTAGTTAAGGTACCATTACAACATAAACCAACCTAAGGTACATAGATACATTTTTCCCAGTAGTCAGAAAATATTTCCAGCAAAGGTGAGACAGCTAATACAATAAAAGAACGTGTATGAATATATGGTTATTCTTTAAAAAAGAGAATCCAAATTCCCAAAATATATATCAAATGATATGTATATATTTTTAATAATAAAATGTTCGATATATATACTTTTTAAAATTCAAGGAAAAGGTTCATGTGGTGGCACATGCCTGTAGTCCCAGCTACTTAGGAGGCTGAGGCAGGAGGATCACTTAAGGTCAGGAGTTCAAGGCTGTAGTGTGCTCTAATCACGCCTGTGAATAGCATGTACTCCAGCCTGGGAACCATAGTGAAACCCTATTTCTAAAAAATTTCAAAAAGAAAATTAAAAAAAAAATTTTAAACAGGCTAAACCTATAATTTAGAATGATTTTAAACAGGCTAAAGTTTTACAATTTTAAACAGGCTAAACCTATTAATTTTTTTAAAAAAATTTGTAGCAATAATAAATTATAGGTTTAGCCTGTTTCAAAGAAATATAGCCTATAAGAATGTAGATTATTTTAAAAATAGAATAGATTCCTAATTTACGGAAAGTAACATTAGCACTTGAATTATTTAACAGTGTGAACAGGAAAGCACACTATGGACACCCATTTCAGTGGGAGAATTTTATAACAAACTGCAGTAATCACATGTGTAAAATGTGTTTCAGTGAAGAGCCATCTGCTTTACAGTTAGACCAAAGTTCCTGAGGGAGATGATGGTGAGAAAGGAGTTCAGGGTTGCTAGTATAGAGGCTTAAGAATATATTCATATGACCAGCATTGAAAGAGAAACTGGAAACAGGCGCTAACATAAGGGAAAGCATATATTTTATTTATTGGCAATAATTGGTTCCAAATTTGGCAGAACACTTCTAAGATCTAGAGAGGTACCAAACTAGAGAAATAATGAGAAATTAGGTTCCTAGAGGTAATCCATGTGTATGATAGTACAGGTTGATTATCCCTAATGTGAAAATCCAGCCGGGCATGGTGGCTTACACCTGTAATCCTAGCACTTTGAGAGGCTGTGGTGGGCAGATCACCTGAGGTCAGCAGTTTAAAACCAGCCTGACCAATGTGGAGAAACCTCGTCTCTACTAAAAATACAAAATTAGGTGGGCGTGGTGGTGCATCCCTGTAATCCCAGCTGCTCCAGAGGCTGAGGCAGGAAATAACTTAAACCTGGGAGGCAGAAGTTGTGATGAGCCGAGATTGCACCATTGCACTCCAGCCTGGGCAACAAAAGCGAAGAACGAAACTCCCTCAAAAAAAAAAAGAAAAGAAAATCCCAAAATCCAAAATACTACAAATTCTAAAACTTTTTGAGCACTGACACAATACTGTGAAAAGAAAAGTTCATTGCAGCATTTCAGATTTTTGGTTTAAGGATGTTCAACCAGTAGACTGAAAATATTCCAATATCTAAAATACATCAGGTCCCAAGCATTTTGGATAAGGGATACTCAACCTGGACTTAAAACTCTAAAAACAAATCTGCTCCCTGAGAGTATAACTGTGGAAGTTAAGAGCTTTGGGCCAAGAACCAGGCCTTGGAAATACTGAATTGTCAGGCTAAAAGATGAAGAACCTATGAAAGGTAAGAATGAGCACAAAGAAAGCAAGAAAAAATTAGAGTGCAGTCTCACAGAGTTAATGGAAGAAATGATTACTAATTAGTCTGTCTTCACACTGCTGATAAAGATATATCCAAGACTGGGAAGAAAAAGAGGTTTAATTGGACTTACAGTTCCACATGACTGAGGAAGCCTCAGAATCATGGTGGGAGGCAAAAAGCACTATTTACATGCCGGCAGCAAGAGAAAATGAGGAAGATGCAAAAGTGGAATTCCTGATAAAACCATCAGATCTCATGAGTCTTATTCACTACCATGAGAACACTATGGGGGAAACTACCCCCATGATTCAAATTATCTCCCACTGGGCCCCTCCCACAACGCATATGGGAGTACGGTTCAAGATTAGATTTGGGTGGGGACACAGCCAAACCATATTAGTTACCAAGTACTTCAAATGCTTTGGACAAAAAAAAATGAAGCTTAGATCATTTGGACAATGAGAAGAGTTACATATGGGACACAAGATTTTGAGTGAAAAGAAATACTTGAAAATAATGAAGAAAGGCCATTTTAACGGTGCAGCTTTATAAACTTTGTAAACGAAGGAAAATGACATCTATTGATTATTGCCCAAATTCCATAAAATAATTCCCTGTGATACTGTGTCATGAAAGTACTGCTTCTTCATTTTTTAAACATCCTGAATTTACTTCAGGCTTTATGTTTCATTCTATATTTGTTGAAAAAGTATTCTGCATATGATTCCTTCGTGGCATATGTATTTATTTGTAGTTCACATTAAAATTCCAGGTATAATGAATGCCTGATTTCTGTTTCCCTATTACATTTTGCATGCAAAATTTTGGAGAAAAAACATGAAATTAGTCAATAAATTTTCTCAATTCTACTCCCATGAAAAGAATTATATGCACATCAAATGAAATTAAAAATGCAGGCAGTCCAATGACTGGAAATGCTGAAAAATTTGAATATAAATCTTTATCATTTACCACCCATTTAACTACTTTATGATGTATTTCCCTTTTAAAATCTTTTTAAATTTTTTTCTTTAAAATTACAGTGTCTCTGAATACATTTTCATTCTATAGATGTGGAAAACTAGAAGTCCCTTTTGAATGCATCTGTATGTGTGTTATATATTTTAAACAAATTAGATTCATATTATGTAATATATAATTTTGCATCCTGCTCATTTCCATGCCACCACTACTAAAACACTATTTTTTGTGTTTGTTTGTTTAATTATTACTTTAAGTTCTGGGATACACATACAGAACATGCAGGTTTGTTACATAGATACACATGTGCCATGGTGGTGTGCTGCATCCATAAACCATCATCTATGTTTTAAGCTCCACATGCATTAGGTGTTTGTCCTAATGTTCTCCTTCCCCTTGTCTCCCACCCCCAAAAGGCCCCAGTGTGTGATGTTCTCCTCCTTGTGCCCATGTGTTCTCATTGTTCAGCTCCCACTTATGAGTAAGAACATGCAGTGTTTGAATTTCTGTTCCTGTAAAACACTATTTTTAATGGCACATTTCACTTCATCTTATGGGTGTATCAATTTATTAACCCTTTATTGAACAACGGGATTGTTTTCTTTTGTGCTGTATAAACATTGCTATGATTAGCATTTTGCCACACAACATTGTGTCTTTCTGATTTTTTCAGCAGAATAGATGGAAAAAGGTGAAATTATTAGGTCAAAGGATTTTTTGGAAGATCACTAATATGTATTGCCAAACTGGTTTTAGAAAGATTATACAAATGAATACATCCCCTAACATTGGATGCAGTGCAATAGTTTCTTGTTTTAAATTGCATTTCTTTTCTTTTCCTTTTTTAATTCCCCCACCCCCCAAATTGCATTTCTTTATTCTGTGTGAAAGTTTTTTTATATGTTTACTATTCATCATTATTTCTTTTTCTATGAATTGTTCACTCATGTATCTTTCCCATTTTGCTATTACTATTTCAGCAGCTCTTCAACTTTCTTCCCTAGAACTCATTCACTTTTGTTTACCAAGTGCCGTATCGTAGCTGTTTGCACACTGATTTCCCTAATTTATTTAGGCTTTCCTGAGGACCAGCTCCATGCTTTATACTTTTTTTTTTAACATCCTGCATAACACTGTACAGGTATCAGGTAATTGATAAATGTTGAATAAATGAGTGGATAACCAATAAAAATTCAGCAAGTTATACCAATTGTAAAATAAGAGTACATTTACAGTAAATCTCAAAGAACATTAAGTACTACAACTTGATAAATATGAAAATAGTTATATAAAGTGTCTGACTGGAGGGACTGCCATCATCTTTGCAAACATTTATTAAGGCAAACTTGTAAAAAGGCTGTTAAGCTTAATACATTTTGGTTTGAATCAGAATTGTAGGGTCAGAGTACACTTTACCCAACTTCATGAAACTCCAAATCCTTTGTTTTCTATCAGAACAGTAACAATATATCCATGGTCATCATTTCATTCACCTTCTTCATGTTCCCTCCAAGGGCAGGATAAGGAGGTTTATTGACATGGCTCCAGTTGACTGGCACTCGTATCATCTCATAGAGCTGAAAGATCACTAAAGCATCTGCAAGGTCACTAAAACAGGAAGGAAAGGCAGATAAAGGAGAAGGAAATGTTGGGTACTACCTAATTTTATTAAGTACATTGGAGATGGACTGATATCTTTAAGAACACAAGTCTTTAATCCTTGAAGAATGACAGGACTTAGCATTTGACCCAAAACTTCCAGTCTAAGAATCTGTCTAAAATATTTTCATAAATATTTACAAAGGTGTACATCCAAGGACATTCATTGCCACAGCAGTTATAAATTTGGAAATAACTTGTGCCTGGCAGCAGGGAGCTTTTGAGTCAACTATACTATAAACTCCTTGGCTACCATTAAACATAAGGCAGATCTGTATGTATTGATACAAAAAGCTTTGCAAGACATATGAAATTTTAAAAAGCAAATGGCAGACACTTCATGCAATTTGATCTCATTTATTTTTAAAAATTTAGAGTCAAATGTATTTCTATGCCTATACACGCTAAGGACTGTTAATAGCAATTACTTCTATTAGGTAAGGAAAGAGGTCAGGAAAACAGGAGTACAAGAGGGTAAGGGTAGAATCATGTTTTATTTGATTCTATACACTTACACACTTCCTGAAACATGTACAGTAAGAATAAGTTCATGTATTATGTATACATTTTCATTTTTTAACTTAAAAATAATTATAGGAAAATCACAGTATCTACTCAGTAGGCAGCTGTTTGTGTTCAATAATGAGGGTTAAGAGGAAGGAACTTATGAACAAGTAGGAATTCTCAAAGTAAAAATATTACTACTTTGGATTCAGAAAAATATGTTCTCCTGAGAAGGTTAAAGTATGCTTTTTCAGTCTATTTTCAATGCTGAATGGTAAGGACATAAAGCAATAGCAATTGATTTTTTAAACTGCTAGCTTTGTGATCTATTATGTGGCTTTTCTCCTCCAACAGCTTGTCCAATGAGTTATGTTTCCCTAAGGTTCTTATTAAATTACTTTGCATTCTCTGAGCACATACCATATGGCAGTGAAGGGAGCTGGGCCCAGTACTGGGTGATAGAGGAAGAAAGTCTGATATGAAGGTAATTAAAATCTGACTAGATTATCTTTAGGCATATGAAACATTCTGTATTTAAAAAGAATCACTAAAGTATTTCTATAGGTTCTGGAATCTTATCTGTTTCATGTATTTTTCTTTTTTACTTTAAATGAATTTATTCTCATTCCTGTCTAGTATGGTATTATTATTATTATTATTTTGCAAATAGAACTGAGGCCCAGAGAGTTTAAATGATTTCCAGAGACTTCAAGATGAATTCTAGAACCAACTCCAGGACTAATAGTTCTTGAAATATATTTATAACTTGTTTAGAGAATTTTCAGTGAAAATCTAGCTGTTTTGCTGTGAGCTGGCTACACTGTAGGCAGGAACCTAAAAATTTTTTGGGGTGGGTTTAGGAATATGTTGCGGGCACAGTTCTATGGACACATGGTTCCAGTGTCAACTAGATGTCTACTTATTGTTCTACATCTGATGGTTCCCTAAAATCATGTTACTTTTAAGAATTTTCTGAAAGTAACAGTTCCTTTCCCAAGAAAAAATACTGTATGCTCAGAAGCTCTATGCTGGTAATTATTGAATAAAGACATTCTTCAGCTATCTTTAGCTAAAAGGTTTGGTCAATTCTTTTCTCCACTGCCAATAATAGAACTCTAGTGTTCTTGACATTTATGAAATAATTACTATCAGTATCAACAAATCTTAATCTGCCATTTTTAAGCTTACTCTTCCCCCTCCCTCGCTTTTTTTTTTTTGCCCACCCGCAACTGTCTTGATCAAGTTATAAAGCTTACTCTTTAGTTATAGAAAAATACATGTTCATGGTTTGAAAAAACTGAAATCATCCTTAAGTTACTAAGATTAAAAATAAAAGTCTCCTTACTATTCTCCACTCCTCCTACCCAGGATACAGTTTGGTATGTACTGCTCTAGATTTTAAAATTCAGATACAAATATCTACACACTCAAATTGTAAACCAAGTGGGATAATACTAGACCTGTTATTCTTTTCTCTTGACTATATATTACATTTTTCCAAATCAGTCCTTAAAAAGTGAATCCCTCCTCGCCTTCAACATTTAAGTTTTAACTTCCCTGCTACTATAACAGGAGAGCCAGTCTAACTGACAGTATCTCCTCTCATCTAGCTAAAATTTACACGCTCTTTGAGAGCTTTACAAACATAGGTCTATTTTAAAGAATATTGTGAATAACCACCAATGAGCAGAAATTACAACATCATAAATCTTCAGTGAGCCAGTGAACTTGGCCTGTTGTGACATTAATCTTCTTTAAGGAGTTAATCTTAATCTTCTTTAACGAGTTTCTTGGTTATATAGGTTGTTAATACATTTAGTTAATTAGAACTTTTTTCTAAAAAAAATACAACTAGCTGAAGTTGACTTCTTTTGCACTTTATCAAGGCACGCTGGTAGATTGTATAATAAAGAGATAAGAATGGTTTCTTCTCATCCACACTTAGAAAGACACATTGTTAGGATTACCAGACAGCCCAAGAATTGATTTAGTAATTGGTTAGCCCTACTAATATCAATAATGTGTCATTTTTAAACAAGAAAGAATGAGATAAGTTATAACAATTATTCAAGGAAAACAAGTTACTTTTACAAATTAAAAAAATACACACAAAAATAACACAATTATTACATAATTGAGGTTTTGGCAAAATAAATGAAAAGTGACATAATGAAAAATACTGATGTAACAATTTATCATTACTGTTACTCTAATTTGTTAACGTTGAAATTATTTTTGTGATCAATAACTATTGAAAGAGTAAGGATTATCTTTACTGATTTATGTATATCATCATCAAAAACATAACTATTATTCATTTCTTGAATAATAGCTTTCTTTTAAAATCCATTGTATTGCCAATTCCCAGCATCCTGAAACTCTAAAAATGGGCTAAAACTCTTGCAACTTGAAAAGCTGGACCCTGAGAGTAAAGCTGAGGCACAATAAAATATTTACCTGTACAAATGATTAATGTACGGGTTGACTCCCAAGGAATTCATCCAGTTCCGAAATGTCCTCTCTTCCTTGCTCTCTCCTAGGGTAGACACAAGCTCACACTGATGACTCAGGACAAAAGGAATCAGGAACTATATCTTAAACCATTCTGGCAGGTACCAACTGGTCAAACCTACCTTGCCATGGTTCATTAGATACTACAGTTTCTTTAAAGGGAGAAAAAAAAGGTCTCTTAATGCCAAAGTCCCTTTTCCCACTATCTAGGAAGTCATTATTTGCTCTATCTCTCTCCTTCTAGATTCCCTTTGATGTCTGTGAACTAGTACTGAGCCATGGGTTTCTCTGCCTAGAAACATAACAGATACACGGTGGTCTATAATTATGATTAGACACAAAAGGGATTGGCTAAACATGAATAAAAGCAAAGTCTTTTAGCAGTCACGGTAACATTAGTACATTAAACACAGATAGAAAAGTTATACCTTGCCTGATGCAATGTTTCTAAATTTGTACAAATTATGGTTTTACACAGGAAAGTTTATCAGCACACAAACCTACACTTTACACCATTCACTGAAGATGAGAGGGGATTACAGGTAAATATAAAAACACACAATGAGGGGAATATAACTATTTTACAGGCTTCCTGAGTTAGTTTAGATTGTCATTACTAAAAATGCCTAAGGAACACAGACCCAACACAGGTTGATAGGAGAAAGACACATTTCATCATAGTCAGTTCCTGGACCTCAAAGATCCCCTCAGGGAGATAACTCCTGCAGGTGCTGTTATTAAACCCCACCTCCCTGAGCATTCCCTTCCCAACAGTGCTTACATCACCTATAAGGAAAATGTGGGTTATGGTATACCATGAAGTGAGCAGTGATGTGGGCTGGCTCTGCCACTGTCTACCTTCTACTCATCTCCTGATTGCAAATAGTCCTAAGTAACTTTTATGATTATCTGTTCTTCAGCAAAGTTAGTGGAGAGTGGAATGGCCTAGTTTACATCTTATCACCAGACTCCTGAAAAACTGAAACATTTATACCTCTCATCTCTCCTAAATTATAGGCATGTTCAAGTCACTCTCTAGCTTTTGGCCCATATGAGACTCACAGGACAATTTGGCACATAAATCTATCTACAATCATCTGAGTTCCAGGGGCTCCTTCATATAGAGCTATTGCAACAGTCATCTTCACACTGAGTGCAAAGACAGTATAAATCTACACACCCAGGATGGAACCCAAGCCTTGTAAGATCTAAAGGATTCTGTTATTTGTACCAACTGTTCAGGAAATAAACTACCCACTATAGTTTCATGTGGTTTCAATGCCATTATCTAACAGCTTTCCCAGAATCTGCTTTAATTACATCGCCCTATAATTTCTTGCTTAAATTTTGTTTCCTCTGGTCTACATAAAAGGTAACTACTGATCACTCTGTTGTATCTGCTACCACAACTTTATAATGAACAGTCTGCATGAGAATCTTTTTTTAAGAAGGACCAAGCTGAAATAAATATTTCCAGAATCCAGGCTGGCCTTATTTGTAAGAATTATTAAACAAGTACAAATTAAATCTATGAACTGTCCCCAAAGTGACATAAATATAAACATACTGTGATCAATAGCTTGATGCCTGTGATTTGGATTTAACTCTCAGATGTTTCTCTATTACTATCTGATATAAACAAATATATATATATATATATATATATATATATATATATATATTTGTTTTTTCTAATAGTTAGAGAAGTTTTACATTATTTCCATCTAGGAAAATCTAAATGTCTTAAAATTATGAAGATTAATAGTGCCATAATGATTTCATTTTTAATTAAAATATCCAAATTTTTTTGAACCTAATGATGCTTTAAAATAACTAGACTTGCATTTTGATAGAGTTCTGAAACTATCCTCAGTGGTTCATATTTCTGCCTATTGCTCTCAACTGATTATATAATTATTTTAATTTTTGAAACCTGGAAAGTAAAATCGATTTTATAAATGAGCATTTATTTATCTAACAACATTTCAAAGTGTCTCGGTAAATAAATGCTCAAAGCTAGAAGCACTATGCATTTGTGCAGGAGCCATGGTAAAGCATTACAAAAACATATGTATTCCAGATTGGAAAATGTTGTCTGGATTACAGACAGCTAAAGTAATCTTAGAAGTAAAATCTGTTTTTCCCCTAGATCTGATATCCAACCTCAAGAAATAAAATCTTAATTGGTGATATGCAAGATTGAAAGAACTGTAAAACATTCTTTCCATTTGCAAGCTCAATTTGACATCAACCAATTAAAAAATAGCAATAAATATAACAAATGTTTATTAAAAGTAGGCTATTAAGAGGGAAAAATGAATTAACATATATTTAATGCTCAATAAATGTGCTGTGACATACAAAGTGCTTTCCTCCTCCCTCCCTGACCATTAATAAACACATACTGTATTCTTTCATTCACTATCACATTTAGCTTGCTCTGTAACACTTCAAATTAAGTTTATCAGTCCTGTTTTATATATTAAAAAAAAAACAAGGCTCACAGGGGTTATTCAGATAAAACAGTGGAACTATGATTTGAACAAAGTCTGATCATTTGTGGCCTATGTATCTTCTGTAACCACAAATGAATTCTTAGATGATCTTTCTATATGTAGCCCACATATCTGGCTCAATTTGATGTGAGGGTTTAATATTTAATTGTTTTTTTCTTTAATTCCCTAGAAAATTCTCTGCCAATGAGGACATACTAACATATGAATTTGGCATGTGATAAGATCAAGCTTCAAATTTCATAAGGATATGTAAAAACACAAATTTACAGGGGAAAATAATCCAATGACAGACAAAGTCCAATATATTTTTGGCAGATGAATGAGGACATACATATGTTCTAAATAAAGATGACCGATAAATATTTCCCATGTTATTTTAATAGATATAGTAAATAATAATGGAAATATTTAGCAATCCTATTCACACTGAAAAATTCCAAAAGCATGCTGAACACTAGCAAAAGAATTCAAACATGAAAAGTAAGAGAGCGAGCAAGTGGAAAAGATATCTAGCAAGAATTCAGTGACTATAAAAAGCAGATCATATTTAATATGCCACTCTAAACAATGCCTTCTACTGACAGAGGGATTTTGAAATTTTCCAGACTGATAAAAACCTAGCGGTGTTCCTTTTGCTTATTTTTTTTCAAGTTCTAATCTCTCACCCTAAATTTCTCTTTGCTGAAAAATATACAGCTTGTCTGCTTTCCCTCTCAATTACATATCTATGTAGAAAATATAATCTTTATTTTATTTTACAGGACCTTTGAGAAGAATGAATTACTCATATTCTTCGAAGAATATATTTGTTAAGTCTGAAACATCTTTCATTAATCGCAAAACTAATTATGAGGTGACAAGGACATCGGAACTTTGGTTATGGCAGTCAAGGAGAAAAAGATCTTGAAGTTGATTTCTCATTCTGTCTCCTTGGGAAAGAAGGGAGTAATGGTGAGTTATGTGAGAGAATTGAATGAATACTGAGATCATGAATACTGCACATCAAATTCTCTCTACCAAGAATTCCTGCTTTCTCCAAACCAGGACATCGAACAAGAAAATTTTTTTTTTTTTGGAGACAGAGTCTTGCTCTGTCGCCCAGGCTGGAGTGCAGTGGCACAATCTCAGCTCACTGCAACTTACTCTGCCTCCTGGGTTCAAGCAATTCCCTGCCTCAGCCTCCTGAGTAGCTGAGATTACAGGCGCATTAGCCACCATGACTGGCTCATTTTTGTATTTTTAGTAGAGACAAGGTTTCACCATCTTGGCCAGGCTGATATTGAACTCCTAACCTCGTGATCCACCTGCCTCGGCCTCCCAAAGTGCTGGGATTACAGGCGTGAGCCACTGCGCCCAGCCAAGAAAAATCTTAAGATTGGTGCCTTCTTCTGACAACTGCCTCTCCCTCTCTCCCTTCAACAACTGCCATTACCACTGCCACCATTTTTACTTTAAGTTCTGATATTAATGTGGGTGTTGGTATGTGTGAGAGTGGGAGAAAAAAGAAAGGCTGGGAAACAAAAAATGAGAAAGAACAGGTATTGAGAATGTTTTGTCATTATGATTATTTATAATATATTGTAAGCTTCAATGAGGTTCAGTAAATATAACATAGCTAACTGATATAAAATAATCTGTTATAGAACCTAAATGAATCCATTCAATTATTACTTGCGATAAAAGATACATTTTATCACAGGAGAGGGATATAGATTTTACATCAAATCATGAAGTCCAGTTGTCAAAATTGAGTTCTAATGTGTTTACAACTATAATATCCCATCGTTATAGAAGGCAAATTAGGTAGAAATTTTACAAAATCAAAGCTTTGTTCTGCTATTCTAATTAAGTTTCACTTGTGTTTCATTCTATGGGCATATTAAGACAGAAATAACACAGCATGAACAATGCAAAAAATAAAATATCAACCCAGATGGAAAGAATAAATGGTACTAATAAAAAGAACATTCAGAATGAATATAGTTATAGAGTATAGAAAAGTACTAAATACAGTACCTACATTAGGAGGGGTCAAATCTGCATTTCATGAAGCAAAATAGGAAAGTATTATATATTATGAGACAGATAACGATAGACCACACAAAAGACAAATAATGAACACTGTAATTTTTTCATGTACACTGAAAACATTAAAAAGAGAACAATACTAGAGTATAACTGGAGCTTTCAAAGGAGAAAAACACCTACAAATAATCATTTTTTTCTAATAGAGAATTCATTGCCCATATTGGTGGTAGAGCTGTTATGTGATCATTTATGAGACTATTTTAAATGTATGATAGTTTTCACTAACCTCTTATGGAGAAATGAAAAATATGTAAGATTTACCCCAGCATACTCTTTTAACCAAAACCAGCAACCACCTTCCATAATTTGAATTTTCAGTACACATACCTACCCACACTAAATTGCATTTCCCACCAATCTCCTATCTCTGATGGTGAAGTAAGACAATACTGTAAGAAGATATAGCATACCATACACTAAATATAGTAAGTCAATTAAAGGCAGAAAGAACGCACCTTCCAGTAAATTCATATCGATGTCATTATTATTCGGCTTGTGCAGGCATGGGTATGTGTTAAACAGATTAGCCACAAAAGCTAAATTAAGTTTAGGATTGCCTGAAACCACATCTGCAGGAGTAACAAACTGCTTGCAGCCCAGTTTATCTGCTTCTTGAAGCATGAGTCCAGCACGCTTCAGGTCATTTTTCTCCTAAACAATAAAACAAAAATGGTCACAATTGAATTTTGATTGGCATAATTTTTATTGATATACATGTTTATAAGCAATTTCTTTTCCACAAATAAATCAAATAATAACTCAAGATCAAATGTGTAGTAATTCCAAGGCAATTTACCCATTCCTTTTTAAAATTTGATTGACTGATTGATTGACAGAGTTGAGACACTCTAGCTCTGGTGCCCAGGCTGGAGTGGAGTGGTGCAATCTTGGCTCACTGCAACCTCTGCCTCCTGGGTTCAAGCGATTCTCCTGCCTCAGCTTCCTGAGTAGCTGGAATTACAGACACATGCCACTATGCCCGGCTAATTTTTGTATTTTTAGTAGAGACAGGGTTTCAGAATATTGGCCACGCTGGTTTTGAAGTCCTGATCTGCCCACCTCAGCCTCCCAAAGTGCTGGAATTACAGGTGTGAGCCACTGTGCCCAGCCACCATGCCCTTTAGGTTAAAAGGAAAAAAGTCTCTGAGTTTCCTTGCTGGAATAACTGAGTTATATTTTATCCTTTTTGCTAAAATACTCAACAAAATTCTCAAATATTGTATCAGTAAGCTCCTACGGTTCACACTGTAGGTAACTTACTTAAGGCCAGCTAGTAGAGTGCCCTCTAGATAACAGGCATAGTTATTGCACCCACTCTACACCGAGTGACATTTCCAGAAGGCTCTTGATGAAAAACAAGTTGAAATACATATTTAAAAAATTAACATCTTAGGGAACAGCACCTTTCACAATTGCAAAGCCCTGGAAACAAATGAAACAAGTCAAATACCTATAAATAGGAGAGTAGATGAATTTGTATATTCATACAATGACATATCCAATATGGGTAACTCTTAGAGATACAAGTTCAAAAAGAAGTACTAGAAATTTAAGTATAGCATGATAAACTTTAAAGGAAGTTAAAAAGTGGTTAATTTTGTAAGGGATACACTTGGATAAAGGGAAACTACATAAAAAGAAAAGCAAAAGAACAATGAACACAAGTTCCAAGACTGTGGTTACCACACTGGGCTAAGGCAGAGATGGAATAGGGAAGAACTGTACAGAAAATGTAATGTCAAGGTCTTAGTTTTCCTGTTAGATTGAGAGTTCATGAGGCTTGTTACAATTTCAAAACAAATAACCATACACAAAAATAAATTTTAAAATGGGTATGCACAAACCCATTTGAGAGTATATAATGACCAAAGATGATAACCTACCTAATTCTGTGCACCAGAGTTGCAAAGTAAGTAATCATGTAAATGAAATCAGAGAAACCAATAGATTATTAAATTAAGCAACAATGAAAAGTTACCAATATAGATGTCAAAAAAAGGACAAAATCTGGCCAGATGCGGTGGCTCATGCCTGTGATCCCAGCACTTTGGGAGGCCAAGGCAGGTGATCACTTAAGGTCAGGAGTTTGAGACCAGCCTAGCCAACATGGTGAAACCCCATCTCTACTAAAAATAAAAAATCAGCCAGGCATGGTGGTGTGCACCTGTAATCCCAGCTACTCAGGAGAACCTTATTTAGATCTTAATTCAAATAAGCTTGAAAAAAAATGACCTTTATGAAGCAAGTGGAAATGTCAACATTGACTAGATATTTTGATGGTGTTACAGATTATTGTAATTTGTTTTAAAGTATGATAAGGTATTGTGGTTTTACTTTAAAAGTGTCTTTATCTTTTAGAAACACATATTAAAATATTTATCCATGAAATGATATGTCTAAGATTTGCTTCAAAATAAATACAGGACAGGAGGGAAATAGGGAAGAAATGAGGTAAGATTGACCATGAATTGGCAGATGTTGAAACTGAGGGATGAGCACATGATAGTTTAGTATACTAAGTCTGTTCACTTCTGGATATATTGCAAACTTTGCATAGCATTACAATACTGTGTTTCTGAAACATATCATTATAATAATGTGAGATATAATTAATTAGTAATGACTCAAGTTGCCTTAAAAACCAAATGTTATGGATATTGCACTTTAAGTACATGACATCTTTTCATACAATCTATTGTCTGACCAAATTTTAATGTTTAGAATTCAAGCTTGTCCAACCCACGGCCAGTGGGTCGCATGCAGCCCAGGACAGCTTTGAATGTGGCCCAACACAAATTTGTAAACTTTCTTAAAAAAACCAAGAGATTTTTTTTGCAACTTTTTTTTTTAGCTCATCAGCTATTGTTAGTGTTAGTGTATTCTATATGTGGCTCAAGACAATTCTTCTTCCAATGTGGCCCGGGGAGGCCAAAAGACTGGGCATCCCTGGTTTAGATAGAACCATCCCTGGTATTTATAACTTATGCTAGAAGAATGAGATTCCTAGGAAACGTGTTTAGTAGGTCAGAATCTGTATCAATCCTTCCTACACCACAAATACTAGGAATTTCTATTTTTTATTTTGTGTATTTCTAAATATAAGCTGGTAAAACTGATAAATGATTGCTAAAAATCTAACAACAGCTTGTTGCTTCCTTTCCTGGCATACACTGACAGTCACAAGAGCACCCTGGTGAGTTCCAATTACCTTGCACCAGGGAAACATAAATGTAGTATTGATTCCACAAACACTCAAGGTCGCAATTCTGCAGTTTCCTTTCTTCTGTCATGACAGCCAGTTGGCTTGACATGGAATCTAGGAGCTTGGGGCATGGAAAACTCTTCTGTAGAGCAAAGCACCCAACTGGAATGAAGGGCTGAGGGCTCTACCGGGGAATGCTGCCTGTAGAGAACTGTACTCTAAATTTGACTGTACCTGCTAGTCAAATTTAAATTCATAGTCAGAAAGTAGAACAGTGGTTATCAGGGCCTGGGGGAAGGGAAAAATGGGGAGTTATTGTTTAATGGGTATAGAATTTCCCTACAGGATGATGAAAAGTTTGTAGAGATAGATAATGATGATAGTTGCACAACAATGCAAATGTACTGAATGCCACTGAACTATACACTGAAAATGATAAAAATGGTAAATTTTATATGTCTTTTTTACCACAATATATTTTAAAAGTTAAAAATTGCACTCACATTAATTCCTGAAAGGTCAATGGCAATGGCAGGTCCATCTTCCCCACCTTTAGGGGCAATCTGATTCAGCAGATGAAAATAGGCTCTCGAATCCTTCAAGGAAAGATATGAAATGGCATTTTTAAAATGAATAAAATTATCATTGAATTTAGGGGAAGAAATTGTTCAAACTGAAGAAATTTCCTGTATCTCAAATAGTGGGATAACTTTAATAATATAGGATTATTCATAGGTTCCTGAATGTACCATGCTGTTTCACACTTCAGAGCTTCAAAGCAATCCTGTTTCACACCTCAGAGTTTATAGTAATGCTGTTTCCTGCACCTGGATATCCTCCCTTAATTTTCCATTTGTTTACACACCCAAACATCAACATCAGTTAAGATTCAGGTCAATTATTATCTCCTGGAAGCCTTCCCTGGATTCTCTAGGATGAACTAAGAATGCTCTTCTCTAGTGCATGGTACCCCTTGCCTACCTCAGTAAGTAAACTGCGATCACACTATTAAATCATCCAAAGTCGTTGTCTCCAAAGATGAATATCATAGTTCTTCCCCATACATACATGAACTCTTCCCATCAAAAGGCAGAAGCTATTTCCCATCCTCTTTAATTTGGACAGGCCTTATAATTCACTTTGACCAAGAGAATGCTGTGAAAGTGATGTTCTGGGGCTTCCAAGCCCAAATCTTAAGAGCTTCTGCTTCCTGTTTCTTAAAGTTAACCTCTACATAAGAAGTCCAACTCTCTGAGACTATCATGCTGTGAGGAAGCCTGAGCTCACCATGTAGGAAGGCCTTGTGGAGGAGCACTAAGGCACCAGACATGTGACTGGGGCCTTTGTGTACTTTCCAGATGAGCTCAACTGACAGCTGAATGTAACTGAGTTAGTAATCCCAGCCAAAACCATGTGAAGCAGAAGAACCACCCAGCCAAAATACATCAATCCACAAAATGATGAGAAATAATCATTATTTTAAGCAAGTTTTGTATGGTTTGCTATATAGCAATAGATAACTGAAATAGTCCTCTAGTATGTGTTTGTCTCCAAGTAGAATTGGCAAGCTTCTCAAAAGCTGAGTCTTTGCATCCCCTGAGCAAAATGCCCTGCAGGAAGGGCTGAATAAATGTTTGATTAGCAGAATTTTAAGAGATTTCAGAATAAGAGAACTCTCCCAAATAAACTTTCAAATATAATCGCATACAGTAGATGAAAGCAGAGAAATAAACTGTTACTTCAAATTAACACACTGTCCTCTAGGCCATTATGGAAAAAGGTAACCTGACTGCAAGTGGTAATACAGCTGAAGAGGGAATGTGAATCAGAGCCAGCACTGATTACCCTGGCGGGGCCAGGGTGGGGGGACATAAAGGAACATAGAGAAGAAAAAACTCACAGGGACCCAGCTTGGCAATGCCCATCTAGGCAGTAACCAAGGGAAAGTTGTCGTTAGACAGAAATGCCTATTATAGTTTCCTTAACAAGGTTCTCCCCATAGAGAGGGAAGTGTTTTAAGCTACCTGGTTAAGGAACATACCTAAAGATCCCCTTTTTTAAACTGATTCCCTGTGCCCTCAGATAATCTGGTTTCCTGTTAGCTGGTTATTGGCAAAGTGGGAGTAAGAGTGTTAAAGCAGTAAACAGTTATTAGTCCAAATGAACAGACTGACATACTCATTATAATCTAGCAGATCTGTGGCATATAAAATGAGAAAGTGTGTTTTATTCTGTTGAGGCTAGCACCTCCTTTCCTCTCACAGTCAGTTGTGCTTCTTATTAAAATCCAACGTATCTGGTTTTATAGAAAATATATATTTTGTGAATATAATTGGGGGATCTACTTCACACAGTAGTGCAAATTTTCATTTTCTATCCCAAGTGTTCTTGTGAATTTAATTCAAATTTAAGTCTGAACTTCCTTTATTTTTACATTCCATATCCTTATTTCATGTCATAAATTTGAACATTTAAATATAAACCTTAATGTCTTGGCTGAAGTTGCTAATGGTATGCCATCCTGCATTGGTCAGATGGTAGTTCACCCATCGCAGCAGTAATTCCTCAGGAGAAAGCTTCATCAGCTCCTCTAGTTCCTCACCTTCATTCAGCAATGCAATCAGAGCTGAGGAAAAGCAAAATGTAAATTTTTCCCATAGCGAGTACATGTCAATGAAAACCAAACATTTCTAATGATCCTACCTTCATTCCTAGAAATCTCAATATCAGCAAAAAGGCCAACTTTGATGATCTGCCAGAGAAGTCCCAAGACCAAGTGAGGTTTTCCTTCTTTGAGATCCGATGCACCGATGTTGACCACTGTACAACCAATGGCCGAGGCAGAATTCAGAGCTAGGTTTAAATTTTCCTGAATTGCCACATACACACACAAAAAAGACATGTGAGGAAGTACTTTCTAAGGTCTTACCTATAAAAATTATCTGTAAGAAACAATGGACCGCCAAATTTCAGATTTATAAACATAACATTTATACAACCAAAATACCACTATTTGAAAAAAAATCACATGGTTTTAACTGTGACTTTATATGCCAATGACTTTCAAATCCCTATTTCCACCCAGACCTCCCCTGAGCTTCTACTCTAAGCTCTGTATCTATATTATATGCACTTGGTTATGTCCACCTGGATGTTCTGCCAATACCTCAAACTCAACATGATATTTTTATTTTCATAAAGACTTCTTTTGGAAGCACTTCTTTAAAAAATGATGCACAATTAGTTTTTAAGATAATTTTAAAGTAACTCTTAAGATGGATTTTATAGATGAGAAAACTGAAGCACTGACAGGTTGCACAGTGGAAAGGCCAGGGTCTGATCCCAGTCGTCTCTGGGGTCTGATCCCCATCCTCTTACCATGCATTACTGCCATTCTCAAATGGTGGCAGTAATAGCAACTATTTTATGTGCTGGTCATAACAGCAGCAAAACACAGAGGTTCTCAAAGCATAGTGAATATTTCAGTGGCTTCCTCCTATACTGTGAAGTGATTTACTGAGCTCCAAGTAAATAAACGGCTGTATCTATGGGGGATCATCTGATGTGATTAAAATAAGCATTTGGAATTATTTTTGTAGTAGTACCAAGCAATGTTCATTCAAATATAGTACTCCCAAAAGAAGCAGCAGAACCGAAGAAACCTTCAATACTTTTATAACCTCAAAATTCACTACAAATAAACACAAATATGAAAACATTAACAGCAAATTACAAAGATTTTGTAGAAATCTAAGATTTTTAATAACATCAGATGTTTTTAAGACTCCTGCTGCAGATGTTTTTTTAAGTTACCTTAAATCAAATCTATGCAACTTTCAAGAGGCAGCTTCTGCTAATTTAGGCATGACACTAATCTTTTTCTCTTTGCTTCCAAGAGCATAAATGATGTTTGCTTCAGTTGGTATTCCCCAGAATGCATCAGCAGGGGAAAGAACTGGACTAAAAATGAAGCCAATAATAGTGTTAATCTCACAATAACCCATTTCATATGCAATTGACAGCATGTTACTGTGGGCCAAAAGAAGTATGTAATTTCACTAAATTGATTGCAATACCAGTAAGAACCAAAACCTACCACTACTCTCATCGTGGACAATGACAAACAAAACCACATCTTACTGCCTACATTAACATGATCTTGTGTGCTATCCTCTTGTCTTCACTGCCATGACTACTCTCTGTCTTCATTAGCATGGTCTTATTCTTCCAGGAGCCTTGAGCCTAGGCAAAAGATCTGATTTTTCACTGCAGGCACTACCTAAAAGACCCAGTAGTAACTCTTCAGTGAAAACATCAAAGACAGTTTATACTCTAAGATTCTTTGACCTCCTCACCTTAAAATCCTCCCCTTGCTATCTCCATCAGTCTTGGGCTGGTGTATTGAGATCCTTGCCCAATCTGGATCAGACCCCTCTTGCCCTCTCATATTGAAAGACCTTCCTTAAACCACAATTCCAATTCTCAAATGCTGCCCTCACTTTCCCAGCACCAAGACACTAACAAAGCTTTGCAAGTGTTTTCTCTTACTGCATTAAACAGTTAACTCAGCTTTGTCTTATCAATGGGTTGTGTTGGTGATATGGGAGAAAAACCACTTTTGACATTAATTTTATTCAAAAGAGTTTGCTTTACAAGCATATCAAATGTCTTACAAGTAATTTGGCCTTAAAAATTGGTAGAAAATAAGGAGTTGCAATATGTTTCTTACAAGTAAATGGTAGTTTCTACTTGATAAAAATGACATCATTGCCCTACCAGTTAGTAAGAAATAGAGTGGCCACACTGAGCTACTTCTAAACATCTTGAGAACAAGAAGTAACAGGAGAACCCCATAGAGAAGCTGCTATCCAATTCTTACCATGGATAACCACCCTGAATGCCCAACCTTCCTGAAGACTTGTGTTGATGGGAAAAGATAGGGACATTAGAGAACTACCAACAAATGGGACACAGGAGAGGTGGCTCTGCTTTCTATAGGACAATGGTACATGGTTAGGCTTGGACTCATGGGTTCCCTCATTTCCAACATCCATACAGAATTGGATGTTGACTACATGGCTTTCTTGTAGTATTAGCAACTTGCTAATAGGTCAATAATGTTGCATATCACTAATAGAAATTACTATTATTGAAGAAGCCTATTTCCAGTTGCAGTTGCCAGATTATTTTTCACAGGTACTGGGATCTTCATCTAATATCCATGATTATTAAAAATATTCACATCTATTTTATTTATAGAATACATACATGACCATTTTTGTCACTGAATCTGAAATACAGAATCTCTTACTATTGTATACATTTATTGCTTTGTTTTACTTTTAATATTTATATTTAATGCATTTAAGAAAATAAAGAAAAAAGTATTCTATAAGTATTTTACAGTAGCCACAGATTGGATCTGAGGGGCTATTGTGCAGTTTTATTTTTAGAGATAGTGTACTTCCAATATATGCAGGGGGTAACAGTCTATAGAAGACTAGCTTTCTATAAAAGATTCAACAATTTTAGCAAAATCAAGGATTGCACTTGCCAAATGAAGGATACAGGTTAGCAGTAGCTCAATTTTAATAGCTACTATTGTGACCACACCTTAAATAGTTGCTATTACTACCACCACATGAGAGTGGCAGTATTAACACAGTGATTAAGAAATGAGCTCAGCACTTTGGGAGGGTGAGGCAGGTAGATCAAGAGGTCAGGAGTTTGAGACCATCCCAGCCAACACAGTGAAACCTCAGCTCTACTAAAATACAAAAAATTAGCCTAGTTGGTGGCACACACCTGTAGTCCCAGCTACTCCGGACTGAGTCAGGGAAATCACTTGAACCCAGGAGACGGAGGTTGCAGTGAGCCGAGATGGCACCACTGCACTCCAGCCTGGCAACAGAGCAAGACTCCATCTCAAAAAAAAATGAAGAAAGAATCCAGCTCTGGCACTAGACCACTGAGATCAAATCCTGGCTCTGCCTCTGTATAACCTGTCAGTGTCTCAGTTTCCTCATAATAAAGTAAAATCGTGGTATATACCTTATTTTAAAGTTGCTGGGAGGATAATTTACATAGTGTGTTTAGAACAGTGACTGATACCCAGTAAGTACTCAGTAAATATTAATATCTACTCATTGTTCTAGAGATTTTGAGGGGGGAAGTGTGGTAAGTCTAAATACCTAGACTTTTATAAGATCTGTATGGAGAAGACAACTACAGAACAATTTAGTATAAAAAGAATAGTTTAAAACTTTGTGGGCTGGGTGCGGTGGCTCACGCCTGTAATCCCAGCACTTTGGGAGGCTGAGGTGGGTGGATCACGAGGTCAAGAGATCGAGACCATCCTGCTCAACAAGGTGAAACCCCGTCTCTACTAAAAATACAAAAAATTAGCTGGGCATGGTGGTGCACGCCTGTAGTCCCAGCTACTCGGGTGGCTGAGGCAGGAGAATTGCTTGAACCCAGGAGGCGGAGGTTGTGGTGAGCCGAGATCGCACCATTGCACTCCAGCCTGGGTAACAGGAGCGAAACTCCGTCTCAAAAAAAAAAAAAAAACAACTTTGTGAAATGGTAAAACTGCAGTGTTCTTTTTCAACCACCAAATAAGAGCACTGGCATCAAACAAGTGTTAATTAATAAATAACTCAATAATTACAATAATATAAACTGAATACAACTTAAATAAGTGCAGTCAAAATACCTTAAATTTCATTTAATTCATTACAAAATCCAACTGAATTTTTACTTAATAAAAACCCAGTTTGTCCAGGTGTGGTGGCTCACACCTATAATCTCAGCACTTTGGGAAGCTGAGGTGAGTAGATCACAAGGTCAGGAGATTGAGACCATCCTGTCCAACATAATGAAATCATGTCTCTATTGAAAATACAAAAATTAGCTGGGCATGGTAGTGCACGAGTGTAGTCCCAACTATTTGGGAGGCTGAGGCAGGAGAATTGCTTGAACCCAGGAGGCGGAGTCTGCAGTGAGCCAAGATTGCGCCACTGCACTCCAGCCTGGCAACAGATTGAGACTCCATCTCAAAAAACAAACAAACAAACAAAAACAAAATAAACAGTTTTGGCCAGGCATGGTGGCTCACGCCAAAATCCCAACACTTTGGGAGGCTGAAGGGGGAGGATCACATGAGGCCATGAGTTCAAGACCAGGCTGAACAACATAGCAAGACCCCATCTCCACAAAAACTAAAAAATTATCCAGGCAAAGTGGCACATGCTTATAACCCTAACAACTCAGGAAGCTAAGGCTGGAGGATCACTTGATCCCGGGAGTTTGAGGTTCAGTGAGCTATACTGGGGTGCATAGCAAGACCCCCATCTCTTAAAAAAAAAAAACAGTTTCTATAAGATAACAACATTACATTAAGTCAAAGGTTTTATCTGAGTCCAAGCATTCATTAATGAAGGTCTTACATTACTTAGCATAGTAACATGATTACAAGCAAAGGACAAATACTTACAGAAATTGTGAAAGGCGTGAGCTTTTTCTTATTGATGGCTCTTTCATCAATTGTATCTGGTTCAGATAAGTTGATCATTTTGCTAACGAGAAAATGAGGATAATTTAATACTATAAGAATCTTTTAAGTTTATTATTGCCTACAGCCAAAATAAATTTTGAAAAGTAATAACAATTCATTACTTTAAAATATTAAACAGTAAGCCAGGCATGGTGGTAGCATGAGCATGTAGTCTCAGCTACTTGGGAGGCTGAGCCCAAGAGTTTGAGGCCAGTCTGAGCAAAACAAAGAGACCTCATCTCAAAAATAATAATAACTAATTAAACTATAATTAATGCCAGGAACTTAATTCTTAAAATCCAAGAAATATTCCCATTCTTAAAACAAATCCATCACTCACTGCAATAGTAATCTTAGCATTTCTCCCAATTTTTTAATCACCCTGAATTTTCTTTCCTTTTTTTTTTTTTTTTTTTTTTTTTTTTGAGATGGAGTCTAGTGCTGTCATTCAGGCTGGAGTGCAGTGGTGCAATCTCAGCTCTCTGCAACCTCCACCTCCTAGGTTCAAGTGATACTCCTGCCTCAGCCTCCCGAGTGGCTGGGATACAGGTGTGTGCCACCTCTCAGTTAATTTTTGTATTTTTAGTAGAGATGGGGTTTCACCATGTTTTCCAGGCTGGTCTCAAACTCCTAACCTCAAGTGATCCTCCTGCCTCAGACTCCCAAAGTGCTGAGATTACAGACGTGAGCCACCGTGCCCAGCCATCACCCTGAATTTTGTATATGTTAGTTTTGTTATTATTTTACTTAATAATCATCAGTATCCAGCAGCCTAAAACATAAAGAAATTCTCTAAGAAGCTAAGTTTCCTAAAGTAGTATGAACACCATTAAACTTACTGTTGTTGCAGAAAGATATGAAGCCAGAGATTTCATCTAAGACTTCAATGTTTAGCTACTTCCAGAGAAATTCATATAAATTTTGTCTCTATATTTTAGAATTTTACTTTTTAAAACAAGAATAGGAAAATATCAATTTGATTCATAACAGGAATTTTTCTGAGAGTTAAAGGTAAGAATTGTAGGTGGAGGTCAAGGTATATTTTATATTTAATGTTCTAAAATCTAATATACTTATGGGTAAGGTTTTCTTTTCCTTTTTAAGTGAAAACATCAAAAAAAGACTGAAGGAAATGTGTCAGGGTGTTAATAAGTTATTTATGGATGGTAAGGATATTTGTGATGGTTATTTTCTACTTCGTAAGTCTTCTGTACTTTTTATAAACTACAGAAAAGACCTCTGCTTTGTCTAAAGAAGTATACTGTGACTGTGGTACACACATCAACCACCAAGACATTTCCTGATGGAGTTTACAATACAGTGAGCAAAAACAGAATGCAAAGAGCCAAGGATAACACAAGGCTGAATCAAACATTTTCATTTAGGTACGAATAAGGAATATCTTCCCTTTGCATCTCCTCATGCTCATGTTCCAGTCAACAATCCCTACTCTCTTGCTGAAAAATGTAAAGAGAAACCCTGTGAATATTTAAAACTGCATCAGATGAATAACTCAAAAGATTATTGGCAATTATTATGGTAATACATGTAAAAGGTAACAGAAAAACAAGGGATTGTATTTGAAAAAAAAATTCGGAAAATTTCCAGTAGATATACAGTAGTACTTCAGTAGTTCATTTTTTATGCAATATTAATTCTTCAAGCCCTTAGTAGCTACTGATTCCAAAAGACAATGGATTGGCTGAATTGCAGTTTTTATGGAATGCTCATCAATGGAATCAGCAAGAACACAGCTTCCTTAACCAGAAATTCAACTCACCAAAGAAGGATGCCATCTGCAAGTGACTTGAAAAGACTATCATCATTGGGATTCATGGGTATAAGATGCTTACAGTCAGGGTCATTCTCCAGGGCTTTGTTTATCCAGTTAACAAAAGCCACTTTTTCTTCCTCTGAAAGGAGAAAATCTTGGTAGGCAAATCTCATTTCACAAACTTTATTGCACTACAAAAACATACATAGCTATTGTACTACAAAACCATACTTGTTAATTTCTGCTCAAATATAATAATTGACTATTATTAAAAATCTACTAAAACACAAAAGGGTTTAAGAAGAAAGGGGACTGGGCCTGGGGGCACACGCCTGTATTTCCAGCACTTTGGGAGGTCATGGCTGGCAGATCACTTGAGGTCAGGAGTTCGAGACCAGCCTGGGCAACATGGAGAAACCCCATCTATATTGAAAATACAAAAATTAGCCGGGCATAATGGTACACTCCTGTAGTCCCAGCTACTCAGGAGGCTGAGGCTTGAGAATCGCTTGAACCAGGAGGTGGAGGTTGCAGTGAGCAGAGATTGTGCCACTGCACTCCAGCCTAAGCCATAAAGAGAGATCCTTTCTAGAAAAAAAGAGAGAGAGAGAGAAAGAGAGAGAGAGAGAGAGCGAAGAGACGAGATGAAATGAGACAAGACGAGAAGAAAGGGGAATTCATTCCACTTTTCCACCTGATATATTAGGAGAGATGAAGGTATACATCTTAAATGAACAAAATATATATTTGGTTTGATTTGAAAATATTTCTAATTATGTATTGCTTCTGAAAGCTAATGAATCAGAAGCAGACCACCAGAGGTCAAATATGTATATGTATATAAATAAGAAAAAAAAATGCAAGAAACAAATACCATGGCAATAAATCCCATCCTCCCCCAAAAAATTGAGAGCTGTGATTTTTAGCTTACAATAGAAATACTGAATTCAGTCAAGAGGTATTGAAATAAAGAAAACAGCCCAATTTCTATGGAATTTTTACTATTAAAAAATTGACAAAAATCACTGGGTGCTGTGGCTCATGCCTGTAATCCCCGCACTTTGGGAGGCTGAGGTGGGCGGATCACTTGAGGTCAGGAGTTTGAGACCAGCCTCGCCAACATGGTGAAACCCCATCTCTACTAAAAAAAAATAATAATACAAAAATTAGCCAGGCCTGGTGGCAGGCGCCTGTAATCCCAGCTACTCTGGAGGCTGAGGCAGGGATAATTGCTTGAACCTGGGAGATGGAGGTTGCAGTGAGCCAAGATCATGCCACTGCCCTCCAGTCTGGGTGATGGAGCCAGACTCCATCTCAAAAAACAAACAAACAAACAAAAAAATGGACACAAATCTAGATACCAGAACTATACTTGGCCAGCACTATTCTTGGCCATCTTCATCATCAACTTCTCAACACATGGCTTCTAGTATGGGTACATTGATCTTTAGGTAGAAAATTTTGTTTGGTTATGCAGTGAGGAAAATAGGGAAGAATTGAAAGTAAAAACATTCTACAGCTTCATTATTATTATGTAAATATAAAAATAATTTAAGATTATAAATCCTTAAAAGAAATCATCCCCAGTTCCATCAGAGGGTAGCACATAATGAGTTGGCCTTCTCCATTGTTGCCCCAGTTCCTAGAATTATAAACAACTGGAGTATAAAAAACTTCCACCTTGTTGTTTATAATCTTTTTGATGGGGACTGAGCCTGACACACAGTAGGAACTCATTGATTTCAATGATTCTAGGATTTTTCATGTTAACATCTCTGAAACTAAGATGTATTTCACATTTGATGGCGTGTTATACTGTGGTCTGCAGTATTTTTTTCTCCTCAATGGCACATAATATAATGGTATGAATCACAATCAGTGGCATCTTAGAACTGATTAAATATATCACTTAACGCATGAATCAGTGACTAAAAGATCAAATTTGGGGAAGTCATTTACCTGAATAAGAATGCTGTGTGCCCTCACTGGAAATAGATGAAGTTCCTCCAATAGCAGTAATCCCTTCCTTCTTGTTAATTATCTTTCGGAATGTTTTGCTGATATCTTTGCTTTTTAATTCTTGCATTAGCTGGAATGGAACATAAGTCAAATTGAGAATCAAATAATCAATAAAAACCTGACAAGATGAAGAATACTTAAACTTCTTTATTTGATATGACATCAAATTAAATACTAGTCCGTTGTACTTATTGCTTGTATATACAGATAACGTTCATCATTTTACCAATAACACAAAATAGACAAATACTTGAACCCCAATCACTGGAATAAATTTTTTATAACTTAGCTTAAATTGAACACACTGAAATTATTCTTCTTGACTTGCCATCTTTTATACTGAAAATCTAAGAAATAACTAACTACATGCTAAAGATAAAAGAATGCCTTAATGAAGATATTTACCTGCCTGAACATCTCAAATGTAATCATATTACAATAAGTCAGCTCTTAGAGGAAATAACATAGGCTTACAGTTTCCCAATTACTTTCTCACTGGACTCACCAGAGATTGGCAAGACAGAATTCAGTCAGTTCTGCATGCAGCAAAGTGATTGTTGTTATTTTTTTTTTCATACAAATTTGATCTTGTCACTTCACATTCTATTCTTCCCACTTCATTTGGCTTCCTATTGCTTTTTGGATAAAAACAAAAATTTGACAGGCCCTGTGTGACCTGATTCTGACTTACTTCTCCAGCTACATTCCTTATCCTTACCATCTCAGCTCCAGCCACACAAACTTTCTTTCATTTGCTTGAGAATATTTGCCATCTGTTAAGCCACAGGGCCTCTACACATGCTGTCATGTCTACCTGCCTCCCACATTATTCATTTTCCCACAATCCATTTGTATCCATTTAACCTCTTTCTTCAGAACACATCATGGTCTTCACGCTGTAGGGATACCTCCCCTAAGTCCTTGGGTTATCCAGCCTCACCTCCAAATTCAATTCCTTCTACCACAAACTCTCACAATACCTGTACCACTCTGTCATAGCAATTCTCATAGTTATCTTTTATCAATTTGTGCATTGCAGTCTTCCTCACACATATAAACTCCAAGAAGGCAGAATCGTGTTTCTTTTTACTCATCACATTACTCATAGTGCCTAGCAAAGTTTCTAGGAAGAAAAGAGCTAAAATACCTGCTTAATCAATAGAGAATACAAAGCCAACTTATATTTCATAAATATTTATTCAATTATATTAATGGTCAATAAGCATTAAACTCTCCTAGTTATTCTAGGGAATGAATTACTATTATCTAAACCTGATTTCCATTCCAACAATTTGAGAATAATTTTTTTCCTTTGTTTTATGAGTTAGTGTGGAAACTATTTCAATAATAATAGTTACTGTCATCATCATCATCATTTTAAAGCAGTCCTTTTTCTGGCCTCTGAAGCTGTATCTAATCAAAGTTAATGATGACATTACTACAATTCTGCTTCAAGAAAGATTATCAGTAGCCTGAAAGGATTAGATTACTTACTGACACAAACTCTTCAAAACTGATTTTGCCATCTTTGTTGCTGTCAGCAACTGATAGAATTTTCTCCACAATCTCTCGCACCTTGTAGCCAGGCAGAGGAAGGCTTGCTTCCTTAAACAGGTCTTGAAGTTCATAGTCACTGACATACCCACTATTATCAATATCTGTAAAGATATATCATCAAATAGGTTTTGTAATCTTTGTTGAAGTTGTACACTAAGAAGGCCTTTTGGGAGGACTCATAGGCATGCAGATAGAGCCTTCCACATTTGTTTCACAGGTAACCTTTTTTTCCTGTACCTGAACTGTACAGAATATGCTATATGCTTCATTTTAAAAACTCATATTTAAGCCATGCTTGGTAATCCCAGCTATCTGAGAGGCTAAGGCGAGGGGATTGTGAGAGCCCAGGAGTTCAAGGCTGAAGTGAGCTATGATCACACCACTGCCCTTCAGCTTAGGCAATAGAGTGAGACCCTCTCTTTAAAAAAAAAGAAAAAAGAAACCTTTGTACATATTTAAATTGAGTTTATCCTCATAGATTTAGGGCCACCATATGTATTTTAAGGATACTGTTGCTCTGATAGAAAACCCAGTTTTAGCACATGACTAAGCATCAGAGAAATAAGCATGGTACGGAGCTGGGCATGGTGGCTCACTCCTGTAATCCAGCACTTTGGGAGGCTGAGGGGTGGATCACTTGAGGTCAGGAATTTGAGATCAGCCTGGCCAACATGACAAAACCCCACCTCTACTAAAAATATAAAAATTAGCCAGGCATGGTGGCAGGCACCTGTAATCAAAGCTATTCAGGAGGCTAAGGTAGGAGAATCACCTGAACCTGGGAGGTGGAGGTGGCAGTGAGCTGAGATTCCACCACTGCACTCCACCCTGGGCAACAGAGCAAGGCTCTGTCTCAAATGAAAAAATAAATAAATAAAAAGAATAAGCATGGGGAAGTCACATCAGACTTTAACTTCTTGATGGAATTTAGAAAATGAATCTGCTGACCCCACATTCCATATAAAATATGTATGCTGTGTCAAATATACATAAGGCATTTGTGTCCTGTGTTTCACTTGGTGGCAGTTCTGTTTCATCTGTCAATAATTCATTGCTTCTTCCTTATGTATTCATGATACCATTATATATGTTGAATCATGCTTGATGTCATTTGAGATTAGGTGTTCAAGAAATTCACACCTATATTTGGACTTTGGGAAACAGGTTTCCAGGTGTTTTCATGTCATCATGGAGAGATTCCCTTCCCTGGGTTTTCCCTAGAGAACGGGTATCACTTCTTAACTCGGAACAAAGGCGACACAAAACACTTCTGCCCAGAGTTGACAGCAGAGCTTTGCATTGTTTTGTTTGTTGCCTGGATCCGCCTGTATGGGCTCTCTTTACTCATCAGGTAATAACTGCTTTGTTTCCTATATTTCTTGTTCTTCTCAATAAAAGAGCTGCCATACTAACTGAATTAATGGTTAGGATAGAAACTTTTCTTTGGAACTCTCATATGAAAGTTTTAGAATTAATACTCTTCAGAGTGATAGAATATTTCTAAACTAGACCAATAACCAAAATACTGGTGTAATTGCAAAAGTCAGCTAGCAAGCTAAGTTGCTTGATATTGCAATAATATTTCTTTATTTTAATTTAGAGAGAAATATTATTATTATTACATCACCAATTCAGAACTGTTTCCCGTAATTCTGAAACATACACATAGATTACACTGGGTTACTTCTAAACCAGCACTATAGTAGGAAATATTTTTAAATAAACAAGACTGAGGAAGTTATCTGCCTAATAACTATCATGTTAAACTAACAAGAATAGTTAAGAGCTAGGATTCTGCAGATAGATCTGGGGGCTTAAGCTCCCAGCTCCATTCCTAGGCCCTCTGTTGTTTTGGTGTGACATGACAAGAACTAATAGAAACCATTTAATGAACACATATGCTTAGCCAAGCGACTTGTTCAGAACTTGACTTACCTTATCTCATGAAACTCTTACAACTTTTAGGTGGTTACTAATGTCATTCCCATTTTAAAAGTGAAGAAATAAAGTTAAATAACCATAAACATCACAGTTTGAAAAGAAAACAGGACTTTCTTACAACTCAACAACACAACAAACAACTTGATTCAAAAAACAGGCAAAGGGCTTGAAACGACATTTCTCCAGAAAAGATACACAATTGGCCAATAACAGATATGCTAAATATCACTAGTCATCAGGAAAACACAAATCAAATGAGATACTACTTCCCACCCAGGAGAATGGTTATTGTCCAAGAAACCAGAAAATAAGTATTGGTGAGGATGTGAAGAAAATGGAACCCTGGTACACCACTGGTGGGAATGTAAAATGGTGCTTCCACTATGGAAAACAGTGTGGCAGTTCCTTCAAAAATTACATATGGAATCATCATATGATATAGCAATTCCGCTACTAGATGTACACTCAAAATAATTGAAAGCAGGGAATTGAACAGGTGTTTGCATATCCATGTTCACAACACTATTCACAATAGCCAAAAGGTGGAAGCAACCCAAATGGCAATCAATGGATGAATGGATAAGCAGAATGTACATATATATACACAGTAGCATATTATTCAGCCTTAAAAAGGGAGGAAATTCTGACACATGCTACAATATGGATGAACCTTGAGGACACTGTGTTAAGTGGAAAAAGCCAGTCACAAGAAGACAAATATTATGTTACTCCACTTATATGAGGTACCTAGAGTAGTCACATTCATACAGAAAGTAGGATGATGGTTACCTGGGGCTGGGGGAGCAGGAAGTGGGGAGTTACTGATTAATGGATATGGAGTTTCAGTTTGGGAAAGGGATGCTAGTGATGAATGTAGAACGATATGAATGTACTAAATGCTAATGAACTATACACTTAAAAATGGTTAAAATGCTAAATTCTGTTATATATATTTTACCACAATTTCAAAAAGAAACAATTTTGAGAAATATTTTAACTCCCCTCTTCTCCCCAGTGGCCCAAAAATAGTCCATCTAATAACATTGGATGGCCATGTCCCTCTGTCTCTGAGAAAAGTCCTGTGCTACAAATTAGCAGAGGGCTTTCTGAGTTCACAGAGTAGCAGTTTATCTTGTAAATAAAGTCAGCAAGTACATAGTCTGCTAATTTTAGTGCTTTGCTCAAACAGAACAAATTATCTTGCTGTCAAAATTATTCCATCAAGGACCTGCTTCTGGATTGGGGTTTTGTACACAGCAGAGCAGCTCCCTCACTGAGATCTATTGAAAGTCAGCTCTCAACACAAGGTTTCGTTAAAAAAAAATTGTTCCATCGTTGAACTGTTTATTCAAAATATCATTAAATAAATATTGCAAGATTATATTAGTATGTTCATGAGTCATAAAGATTAAAGTTGGTGGCCGAGCGTGGTGGCTCATGCCTATAATTCTTAGCATTTTGGGAGGCCAAGGCAGGTAGATCACCCAAGGTCAGGAGTTTGAGACCAGCCTGGCCAACATGGCAAAACCCCATCTCTACTAAAAATACAAAAATTAGTTGGGCATAGTGGCAGGCACCTGTAGTCCCAGCTACCCAAGAAGCTGAGGCAGGAGAGTCACTTGAACCTGGGAGGTGGAGGTTGCAATGAGCCAAGATCATGCCATTGCACTCTAGCCTGGGCGACAGAGCAAGACTCCAACTCAAAAAAAAAAAAAAAAGATTAAAGTGAGTGTGCTAAACAAAGCAAATATATTACTAATTCATTTATTTTACTAAGACCTAGGTAAAATTTTTATTCAAGCTACTAAATTGCATCTATAAAATAATAGAAATACAGGCCAGACATGGTGGTTCATGCCTTTAATCCCAGTACTTTGGGAGGCCTAGACAGGTAGATCATGAGGTCAGGAGTTCATGACCAGCCTGGCCACGATGGTGAAACCCCATCTCTACTAAAAATACAAAAATTAGCTGTGCGTGGTAGCAGACACCTGTTATCCCAGGTACTCGGGAGGCTGAGAAAGAGAACTGCTTGAACCTGGGAGGCAGAGGTTGCAGTGAGCTGAGATCGCACCACTGCACTCCAGCCTGGGCGATAGAGCGAGACTGTCTCAAAAACAAACAAACAAAAAAAACTAAAAAAAAGAAAGTAACAGAAATATCAAATTATGAGACACATTTTTATTACTTCCTGTGTTTCAATGCTTGAAATGAGCAGAACATTTCAACAATTGCCCAATTTTTGTCTTGAAAAGATTCTGGGCATTACATACAATTCTCCATAAAATGTATAATTGTTTTCTGAAAATTGTACCATATTCATACAATGCTCTAATGACAAATACGCCATTCCTAGGGAGAAATGGAAGAGCCTAGAGATTTGTAGAATTTACTTTATTTCGCAACAACGATTTGTAAAACATCAGATTCCTGAGTTTTATGGGTTTTTTTTTTGAGTGCTTTATTTTTTAAACTTTATCTTTTTCTTTGTATTGATCTATAAAACTCATTCTACATTATATTTTATTCACATTAATTTTAGTCATTATTAGGTTTGTGAGAAATCTAAGCACAAGAACAACAGTGATCATTTTCTCCTCCCTGATCTACCATATGACTGTTTTTAATGGAGGGCTGCATTACACTAGAGAAGGAGCTTGATGAGTAAGGGGCAAATGTGGTGGTGTCATTGTCCCACTGTCTATTCACTGTGCTCACCTTTCACTGGGTTCACCTTTCACTTGCATGCATTTGCAGACTAAAGCAAAAAATGCTATTTATATTCTCCTTGTTTACCATGGGTTTCCTAAGAGCAAACTGCAGAAGAATTGAGATCCAGTATGAGGAAAATTTTTGGAAGAAAAATACAAAACTGTCAAAATGATAATGTCATAAAGACAAAACGTTAAACGGCTATAAAAAGCAAAAGAAGAAAAATAAGTATACAGCCTTTAAAAACAATACTAAGACTTTCTAAATTATGCATGAGGGAGAAGGAAAATGAGACATATGGCATTTAAACAATACCAAGATTTTAAAAATATTCTGCATGAAGTCAGAAAGTGTTATTTTTAGTGACAAAAATGGCCAGGGTTCATTTTATATGTGAGGAAGTATTTTTACATACTTTTTCCTCTGTAATAAGGATACCATGTTAAGTGTATTCAGTTACATCGTCATTCATTAACCTGGATTATTCTCTGCAAAGAAATGATCAAAGAACTCAAAGTCCAATTCACCTAGAAATTCAAGCCAGTCTTAGCTTATCTTTCAGAAAGAAAGGAGCCAGTGAAACCTAGATAAAAAAAAAAAAAGGAATAAATCTGGAGGTAATTGGGTGGTGGTAGATGAAATAAAGGTATTGTTCCATTCCTGAAGTCTGACATCAATCAGACCAGTAATATCGTATTTACTTTTTCTCAAGCATACCTATTTTATTAAATGCTTCTTGTAGTTCTTCAAGTTCCTCCCGAGAAATGGTAGTAGTGCTGTTTTCCATCTTTGGACAGAAAAGACTATCTTCAGCTCTTTGTATCTAGAAAAAGCAATATTATATTTAAAAAAGAACATGAAGGCTTCGGAAATATTTATCTAAGCAATATAAAGTACAGAGGAAGTACATTCTCTAGAAGGAATTATCTATGAGTTCTGGCTGACAAAGAACAAATAGGAGTAGGTCCCCTGGTAACACTCCCTCAGCATAGACCAGCCAAACTATAACTGAGACTCAGTAAGGGGAAGAAACACCTGGTTTTCACACCTTGTGCTTTTACACAGATATTTTTCAAAAGCTGAATTAATTAATATTAATTTCTATTTGCATTTTACTCCACAATTTCAGGAAAATAAGCATTGCATTTCAAGTTTGAGAAAAGTATAGCATTTATAAATATATAACATAAGGACAGAAAGTAAAATTTTTTAAGACATGAATAATGCCCACAAAAAAGGTAAAGTTAGAGTCTGCTTATCTTAAAATGGATTTGTGGTTTTAACACTCAGCTTTACAATATCCAACCATTGCCACACCTCCCACTACCCTGTGTGAGGTCTCTGAGGGTCTGTGGGGTCCTTCTTTTTTGTGGGATGATTGTTGATTGTGGCTCATTGCAGTCCCAAACTCCTAGGCTTAAGTGATCCTCCCACCTCAGCCTCCTGAATAGCTAGGACTATAGGCATGCGCCACTGTACCCAGCTAATATTTTAAGTTTTTTGTAGAGACAGGATCTCACTATGTTGTACAGGCTGGTCTTGAACTCCTAGCCTCAAGTAGTCCTCTTGCCTTGGTTGAGTTGGGCCCTTCTTATTCTGAGTAGGTAAGACAAACCGAAAAGGAAAAAACAATGTGAAACTGGGCTATAAGAAAAGTCACAAGGTGGTGTGTGTTCATTGCAGAAAATAATTGATAACAAATGTCCCAAACAGAAAATTAATATTACTCATAATCCTACTATCCAGAAGCAGCAACAAATATCTTTTCCTCATCTTTATCCTTCGGCCCACTTTCAAAGCACATGTGTACCTTTTCTTGGGGCGAGAACAATATGACCATACTATATTATTTTGTACTAACACATTGCCACTATGTTTTCATGCTGTTCATCAACATAATGCTTAATGGCTACATACTACTATATCATAACCTATTTGGTAAGTACCCTCTTGCAGAGTATTTGCACTGCTTCTAATTTTCCTTACAAGTAATGCTTCAATGAACATCCTTGCAGATAAATCTTTGTTCTGCTTCATGTTTCTTTTGTGTGATAAATATCTAAAAGTAGAATTACTTACATTTTTAAGACTTCCAATATCTAGCAATGCAACTCTTATTTATCTTTTTGAGTGAAAGCAAGTTTATTCAGAGAGTAAAGGAATAAGAATGAGATCCAAGATGGCTGATCGCTAACAGCTCAGGATTGTAGCTCCCAGTGAAAGCGCAGAGAACGAGAGGACGCCACACTTTCAGATGAGTTTTCGTCACTCATGGACCAGAAGATTCCCAGTGGAGAAGGCCCACGGGCACCAGCATGACTCTTGTGGCCGGCGCAGTGGTTTCGCCGGCACCTCAGCACGGCAGCTCTTTGTGCAGAATAAATGGGAGGAGATTCCCAGGCAGAAGAGCACCATCAGTCTTATTGCTGCTGTTTTGGCCAGCGCAGTGGGTTGCTCGGATTCCAGCGCTGGGAATCAATAAACTGGGCGTCCACTCAGAAACCCAACTAGAAAGGCGGTAATCGTAAAGACGACAGATGGATCAATTTATAACAAAGGGAAGAAACCAGCCTAAAAAGGCTGAGAATACCCAAAATGAGAACCCCTCTCCCTCTACAGGGGATTACAGTTCCTCATCAGCAACGGAACAAGCCCTGATGGAAAAGGACTGTGTGCCATTAACAGAAGTAGGCTTCAGAAGGTGGATGATAAGAAACTTCTGGGAGTTAAAAGAACTTGTTCTAACCCAATGTAAAGAAACTAAGAACTTTGAAAAAAGGTTTGACGAAATGCTAACAAGAATAGACAATATAGAGAGGAATATAAATGAACTAACGGAGTTGAAAAACACAACACAAAAACTTAGTGAAATATGCATAAGTTGGAATAGCCTAATTGATCAAGCAGAAGAAAGGATATCAGAGGTTGAAGACCTACTTAATGAAATAAAATGAGAAGACAAGAATAGAGAAAAAAGGATAAAAAGGAATGAGCAAAGTCTCCAAGAAATATGGGACTATGTGAAAAGACCTAATATACGTTTGATAGGTGTACCTGAATACGACAAAGAGAATGAATCCAAGCTGGAAAACACTCTTCAGGATATTATTCAGGAAAACTTTCCGAATCTAGCAAAGCAAAACAATATTCAACCCCAGGTAATACAGAGAACACCACAAAGATATTCCTCAAGAAGAGCAACCCCAAGGCACATAATCGTTAGATTCACCAGGGTTGAAATGAAGGAGAAAATACTAAGGGCAGCCAGAGAGAAAGGTGAGGTTACCCACAAAGGGAAGCCTATTAGACTTACAGCAGATCTCTCAGAAGAAACCCTACAAGCCAGAAGGGAGTGGGGGCCGATATTCAACATCCTCAAAGAACAGAACCTTCAGCCCAGAATTTCATATCCTGCCAAACTAAGCTTCACAACTGAAGGAAAAATAAAATCTTTTATGAACAAGCAAGTACTCAGAGATTTTATTACCACCAGGCCTGCTTTACAAGAGCTTCTGAAAGAAGCATTATACATAGAAAAAAAAAAAAAAAACAGTATTAGCCTTTCTAAAAATATACCAAAAAGTAAAGAGCATCAACATAAAGAAGCATTTACATCAACAAATTGATAAAATAGCCAGTAAACATCAAATGTCAGTAACCCTAAATTTCAATCGACTAAATCCCCCAATCAAAAGATACAGCCAAAACCTAACAGTATGCTACATCCAGACCCATTTCACATCCAAAGATACACAAAGACTTCAAACAAAGGGATGGAGAAAGATTTACCCACCAAATGAAGAGCAAAAATAAATAAATAAATAAAAAGCAGGAGTTGCAATTCTCGCATCTGATAAAATAGATTTCAAAGTAACAAAGATATAGTGGTAAAAGGATCAATGCAACAATAAGAGCTAACGATCCTAACACCCAGATGCATAAGATTCATAAAGAGATTTAGACTCAACGAGACAGAAAATTAATAAGGATATCCAGGACTTGAACTCAGATCCAGAACAAGTAAACTCAATAAATATTTATAGAGCTCTCCACTTTAAATACACAAAATATACATTCTCTACCTTAAATACACAAAATATTTATTGGCCATTATTAATACCCATTTTCAGAATAAAGCTACATTCCCGTTCTCTCTCCCTCTTTTTCTTCCTCTTTAAAAAAAAAAAAAAGAGAGAGAGAGAGAAAGTAAAGGAATAAAAAAATGGCTACTCCATAGAGCAGCCACAACTCTTATTTTTAAAATACCTTGGTAGTTTGTCTATTCAGTGTAAAACTAAAGATGAATACAAATGATACTGTATTCCTCATATACACCTAGTTCTATCAGACAGTTAATATGTGCCTCAGGAAATAAGTGAAAGCAAGTGCTTTATAAAAGAAGCTAAGTGGAAAATCCTTCTTTTTTATATACTTTTATATACTTGTATTTATATAGAAGGTTCAATATCATCCCTAATTTTTTAGTGAAGCAGACCAATTTTCAAAATAATTTATTCACTGAAAATTATCACTGATCATTGAAAAATAATATTAAATTGCGTGAAGCCCTCTAAGAATATGGTTCATTTGTGATCTGTACACAAATTTATTCAGGAATTTTGATGTTCTTTCAAAATCACAGATTTCTATCTCTTACAATTTTTATGGATCCTGGTTATAATTACATGTGCAATTAAATCTTTTGGTCTTGTTTTAAATACAGTATTGTCTGCTATTTAATTCTACACTCAAAAAAAAAAAGTCTAAAGAGCTCAAGTCAGTAGAAAAAGGAGTAAATGGAAGTCATCTTATGCCCCAGATGCAGTTTCTTACATGTTAGCATTAAATACTCATTTCATTGAATTCTCACTGTTAGAAGGCTTCACTATATTTAAAACTATTATAGGCATACTTATTTTGTGTTTAAAGAGATTAAATCGTTTTTTTAGGACTAGTTAAGCATAATTTCCTGGGTCTACAAAATGCTACTTCTGTCGTGGCTGGCTTTGAATCTCTGAGGTTTCAGTCATCCTGTATATCCTTTCCTGTATTCCAAATGCTTTCTATTCCTTGCCTCAAGTTTTAAAAATAGTGACCCAATTTTAGCATTTGCACTCCACAGAAAGGCTGCAAATTAACAGTATTTGTGTTGACCTTGCATTTGAAACTATGAAAATAAACTTGAGGTTATAGTCTTTGCTCATGCCTCTTCAAATTTATATCACTTGTTAATTACATAAAATATTTTTAGTCTCCTTTAATCAGGTAAAAGCAATATGTATACTTATCAAAAAAAGCAATTTACCCATACAACATTGTTTCCTATCTTTAAAGCTTTGTTTTTATAGCTAATAAGTGTAAAGATGTTGCTTTGAATCCTTTGGCATTGAAGTGAAACAAATAGAAAAATATAAAAGGGTCTTCAAGATACACAGTCAGCTCCTAACTTACAATGATTTGACTTAGAATTTTTCAACTTCAGAATGGTGTGGAAAGTTACACACAATCAGCAGAGAGCAGTATGATACTCTCACCATGCTGGACAGAGGTGGTGAGCCACGGTCAGCCACAGGATCACAAGGGTGAACAACCATTACTCTACATTTACCATGCTGTCAAAGTTTTACCCAACTTTAGGCTACTGTAAGCATTCCAAGCACATTTCAGGAAGGCAAGGCTATGCGATAAGGTTCAGTAGATTAGGTGTACAAAAATGCATTTTTGACTTACGATGGGTTTATTGGAATGGGACTCCTCTGTAAGTTAAGGAGCATCTGTAGTCTCAAAAGAACAAAGCAAGATGCAGAAAAGTAAGTGTGGCAGGGGGAAGGAGACTGATTATATCAGCTGTATGTTTATAAAACGTTTTCTGGAAGGGTACAAAAAAATGGTAACAGTTGTGATTTTCACGTTGTTAGTCTCGTGGTAATTTAGGGTTGTTGCTACTGCCTTTTTTCCTTTCAGAAAAGGAAAGGAAAGAAGGGTTCTAAGAAGGGTTTTAGATTCTGTCAATCATAAAGAACTGCTCTAACTTTGGAAAGCTTTTAAAAGCCTCAAGGAAGAAATTTGAGGGAGGATAAAAGATCAAATCCAATTTTATCTAAATTGAAAAAAGTCTCTTTTAGAATGTGCTTCTTTAACTTTCCAAATATATATTTGGTTTTACACTTGAGGATCAGGCAAGGAAAAAATAGGCTTTAATTGGTGAAAGAAGGTTCCAGTTAGAATGATTATCCTTAAAGAAAAGTGGAAGAGGAACTGATTCTCTAGGAGAAATGGAGAATTGGAGGCAGAGTGGGAAGAGGTTTACTCTTCATGATACGCTTTTTGTATTCCAAAACCAATAACTGAAAAACAAAGGCAATTTTGGTAAAAGATTTTTTTTAATGAAACAAATACTGCTGAAGGTACACATTACTAGATACCGATAAATAATGATAAAATTATATATACAGTACCTATATGGGACCATTTTAAATAACAGCACCTATATCTCTTTACAAAGCAAAATCTATGATTAAAAGATTGAAATAATTTGTAGCTTTGCACAAAGGTACCTTTTCATTTCCCAGCTATTCTATTTTCCTACCTTCTACAGTGGCCCTGTCACTTGAAATTCTGACTTCTCAAGCTAGCCCTGACTTAGGTCAGCCAGCTTTTCCCTTATCCATCCTCCAAAATTTCCTTTTTCCCTTATTCTTCCTCACCTAAAAATATAAAATATAATGGCAAGTCTTTATTGAGGGCTTTCAGTGGGTCAAGAACTGTACTAACCTCACATACATCACCTTACTATGTATTCATCTGCTCTACTGATGGTACCAATGTCATCCCTTAAAAATGTATATTTGAAGCCCACGGAAATTAGGTGACCTGCCCAAGGAAGGTAGATGAAATAAGAGATTCAAAAGCCAATCTTTTCCTAGTGCCCAAGTTCTCAAGTTCTACATGTAGTTCAATTAGCACTCCTACTCTCTCAAGGCAAGCATCATTAGTTTTAAAGAAAGGAATGATGACTACTTAACACTAAAGTGTGAATAACCAGTAAACCAAGCCCTTAAAGTGTTAACTCTTCCAACTATATTTACATTACAATTTAATCAATATTTATACATCAGTAAGATAAATGAATCACATCTGTTTCTCAAAAATATACTAAATAAAAAGGCAAACAGCTAAAGTATACATACAGCATACTATTTGTTGTAAATTATAAAAACACAAAATATTATATATGTTGCCATACATATGTAGTAAAACCAAACACACATGAGAATAACACAACAAATTCAGAATAGTGGTTTTTTTTTTGAGACGAAACTTCACTTTGTCGCCCAGGCTGGAATGCAGTGGCATAATCTCAGCTCACTACAGCCTCTGCCTCCCAGGTTGAAGCAATTCTCCTGCCTCAGTCTCCTATGTAGCTGGGATTATAGGCACCCACCACCACATCTGGCTAATTTTCATTTTTTTATTTTTAGTAGACACAGGGTTTCACCATGTTGGCTGGGCTGGTCTCAAACTCCTGACCTCAAGTGATCTGCCAGCCTCAGCCTCCCAAAGTGCTTGGATTAGAGACGTGAGCCAATGTGCCCAGCCTGTTACATCATTTTTAAAGAGATAGTTGAAGCAATTATGGCAAAATGTTAATATCTGCTCAATCTAGGAAGTGAGTATGTGGACATAGATTATACTGGTTCTGTACTTTAGTCTTTTGCTTTAAATAATTCATATTATAAAAAATTATTCTTAAAGAGAAAAAAGAATGCTTCTTAATACAAAGCCACAAGCCACTAATAAAGGAAAATCAGGCCATAAAAAATAATAAAAAATAAAGATGACCAAGAATATGTTTTTGAACAGGGGAAATTGTACCAAGGCTTTGGGAAACTTCTTTTAAGTACTTCAATCTTGAACAATTAAAATAATTAATATTATTGTGGCAGAATAATTTATTAAAATGTTAAATTGTGTTTATTCTTTATCCTCCTCAATTAAAGCAGTAACACTTTCTTGTTTGAGGGACTCTGGCAGCAAAGAAGGCAGAACCAGTCTAGAATCTCTCAGCCTTTAGGAAGAAGCATGAACCTCCTAGAGGGCTTACTTGGGTTGGATATCCTGGCAATGGGGTCAGGGGGAAGAGGCCACCTCTGAGAAACCACTAGATGAGAAAGGCAGAGAGAGGAAAAGATTGCCCCCACAGGGAGGAAGGGAAATCTGTGGGTGCTGCTTGCTGCCCTAGGGGTGGCAGGTGCAACAGAACCTCACCAGAAAGAATCTGCAGACTAAACCAAGGGGTATTTCCCAGGTAGCCACTGAAGATTGATGATGGGGAATAGAAGCGCTTCCTCTCAGCCCTTTGCTCTATATTAGACCCCAGGACAAGAGAGGCTGAGGGGCAGATCCCAGCTGCATTAGAAAGACTTGGCAGTATTTGGGCAGAATGAAGCATGACAATAAAAATAAAGTTGCTTGAAAGAATATCAAGAAATGTGATATTTCTTTTACCTGACTTTTATTTTAAAAAGCCTTGATAGTGTTTCTCTGGAGAACTGACTTTGATCAGAGGTTCCAGAATATTTCAGTATCTCTGGGGAGTAGAAGTTCTACTGGTAACCCATGTCTTGCTCTCCTTCTTTGCACATTATTCTCTCTCTCACCATAGCCCTTCCCTTTTCCTACGTTACTTCCTATTTTCAGTCCTCCATTACAAGTTTAAAGATCACTGAATCACATCACTATGTGAAAAAAAAAAACAGCTAAGAAATAGTTGAAGAATTTTCCTTCTAGTGTAAAGGAAAACCTGGAAAATATTTTCATCTATATGTCTAGCAATCTCCTTATTCAACCATATTTCAGAACAGGGAGCTGTATCATTCATTTTGGACAAAGTAAGCATTCATACTCCAAATCAACCTGTCTACTTTTTATCAGATTTTCTTTAGTTAATAGGAATGTCTACTGACTCTTGAATATTTTTAAGTGGCTAGGTGCGGTAGCTCACATCTGTAATCCCAGCACTTTGGGAGGCCGAGGCAGGCCAATCAAAAGGTCAAGAGATCGAGACCATCCTGGCCAACATGGGGAAACCCCATCTCTACTAAAAATACAAAAATTAGCCAGGCGTGGTGGCATGTGCCTGTAGTCCCAGCTACTCAGGAGACTGAGGCAGAAGGATCACTTGAACCCAGGAGGCAGAGGTTGCAGTGAGCCAAGACTGCCCCACTGTGTTCCAGCCTGGTGACAGAGCAAGACTCTGTCTCAAAAAAAAAAAAAAAAAAAATATATATATATATATATGTATATATATATATATATATATGTATATATATATATATATATATATATATATGTATATGTATATGTATGTGTATATATATATCTTTTAAAAAGTTAGCCAGCCATGGTGGGAGACACCTATAGTCCTAGTTACTTGAGAGGCTGACGCGGGAGGATCACTTGAGCCCAGAAGTTTGAGGCTGTAGTGAGCTTTGTGCCATCGTGCTCTACCCTGGGCAACACAGCAAGACACTGTCTCAAAAAGATAATTTTTTTGTAAATTTTTTCCTAATCACATTAGAAAGGAGTTAATGATATAGTCTTCATTCTTCTCTAGGTGAAGCTTTTAAGTTCTGATCCTCTTGTGCAAACACTAGATATATAAACAAAGAAATCTTCTAGCAAAGCAGAGAACAGAGAAGACTTACCAACATCCCCCCCAACTAGCTCACCACATGGGCCCACCATGGTCATCTCCATGAGCAGCCACGGTCATTATATTCCTGTGCATTTGCAGTTTGGGACTGGCCTTCAGTGGCAGTTAGACTTACCTCCAAGTTAGACTTAGCCCCTAGTAAGGGGCTACATATTGGAGTTTTAAGTAAATAGAAAAGTCTTGGAGTTTAAATTTATTCATTCATGTATACAACAAATACATCCTATTTGGCCGGGCTAAATGAAGATATAAAGATGAATAAGAATCAGTTTCTCTGGGGAACAATCCAAGATGGCTGATCGCTATCATCTCAGGATTGCAGCTCCCAGTGAAAGCGCAAAGCACGAGAGGACGCCACACTTTCAGACAAATTTTGGTCACTCACGGAGCAGAAGATTCCCAGTGGAGGAGTCGCACGGGTCACCAGCGCAACTCTTGTGGCCGGCGCAGCGGTTTTGCCAGCACCTCGGCGTGGCAGCTCTTGGTGTAGAGTAAATGGGACTGGTTCCCCTTCTCACCGAGGTTTGGAGCTCCGGGAAGGCAGAGCCGCCTATTACAGACTCAAGAAGTAAGCCAGACTGGAGATTCCTGGGCAGAAAAACACCATCAGTCTTAACGCCGCTGTTTTGGCCGGTGCAGTGGGTTGCTCAGATTTCGGCCCTGGGAATTAACAACTTGGGACATCCACTCAGAGACCTAATTTGAAAGTTGGTAATTACAAAGACGACAGGTGGATAAATTTACAATGATGGGAAGAAACCAGCGTAAAAAGGCTGAGAATACTCAAAATCAGAATGCCTCTCCCTCTAAAGAGGATCACAGTTCCTCACCAACAAGGGAACAAGGCTTGATGGAGAACGAGCGCATCCCATTAACAGAATCAGGCTTCAGAAGATGGATAATAAGAAACTTCTGTGAGTTAAAAGAACATGTTGTAGCCCAATGTAAAGAAACTAAGAACTTTGAAAAAAGGTTTGATGAAATCCTAATGAGAATAGACAACTTAGAGAGGAATATAAGTGAATTAATGGAACTGAAGAATACAATGCAGGAACTCCGAGAAGTATGCACAGGTTTAAACACTTGAATTGTTCAAGCAGAAGTAAGGATATCAGAGGTCGAAGTCCAACTTAATGAAATAAAATGACAAGATTAGAGAAAAAAGGATAAAAAGGAATGAGCAAAGTCTCCAAGAAATGTGGGACTATGTGAAAAGACCAAATTTACGTTTGATAGGTGTACCTGAATGCGACAGAGAGAATGAATCCAAGTTGGAAAATATTCTTCAGGATATTATTCAGGAAAATTTTCCGAATCTAGCAAAGCAGGACAATGTTCAACCCCAGGTAATACAGAGAACACCATAAAGATATTCCTCAAGAAGAGGAACCCCAAGGCACATAATCGTTAGATTCACCAGGGTTGAAATGAAGGAGAAAATACTAAGGGCAGCCAGAGAGAAAGGTCAGGTTACCCACAAAGGGAAGCCTATCAGACTTACAGCAGATCTCTCAGCAGAAACTCTTTAAGCCAGAAGAGAGTGGGGGGCCGATATTCAACATCCTTAAAGAACAGAACTTTCAGCTCAGCATTTCATATCCAGCCAAACTAAGCTTCACAACTGAAGGAAAAATAAAATCTTTTATGAACAAGCAAGTACTCAGAGATTTTATTACCACCAGGCCTGCTTTACAAGAGCTTCTGAAAGAAGCATTACACATAGAAAGAAACCAGTATTAGCCTTTCTAAAAATATACCAAAAAGTAAAGAGCATCAACATAAAGAAGAATTTACATCAACGAATGGATCAAACAGCCAGTTAACATCAAATGGTAGTAATCCTAAATTTAAATCAACTAAATCCCCCAATCAAAAGACAGAGCCAAAACCCAACGGTATGCTACATCCAGACCCATTTCACATGCAAGGATACACAAAGACTCAAAGGGATGGAGAAAGATTTACCAACCAAATGGAGAGCAAAAATAAATAAATAAAAAGCAGGAGTTGCAATTCCCGTATCTGATAAAATAGATTTTAAAGCAACAAAGATATAGTGGTAAAAGGATCAATGCAACAACAAGAGCTAACGATCCTAACACCCAGATACATAGAGACTTAGACTCAATGAGACAGAAAATTAATAAGGATATCAAGGACTCGAACTCAGATCCGGAACAAGTAAACTTAACAAATATTTATAGAGCTCTCCACTTTAAATACACAAAATATACATTCTTGTCAATACCACATCACACCTACTCATAGGTCTAAATGAAATATTGATTGACCATTATTAATACCCATTTTTTTTTAGAATAAAGCAACATTTCTGTTCTCTCTCCCACTTTTTCTTCCTCTTTCTTACTCTCCTTCACTCCTTTTTTTCCTTTCCTTCTCTCAAAAAAAGAAAAAAAGAAATCAACTTGTAGACCTCTAGACCCAGGTCGGCAATGTCTGTTTCATTGCCTGATTCCTTCCTTCCCTTCTCTCCCTCCCTGCCTCCCTCCCTCCCTTCCTCCCTTCCTGCCTTCCTCCCTTCCTACAAAAAAAAAAAAAAAAAACGAATCCATTTCTCTGAAAACTATACTCATATAGTGCTTATCAGGTTCAACTGTAAATGCCTGAAAAGTTTAATTAAAACTGATTTTTTGTAAATAGTATAATCTTATGATTATTGCTCTTTGATGAACAAATTAGAATCATCTTCTAATTCACTTTCTGTTTAAATCTGAATATAAAGGGGTATCTTATTATACTATATACCACTTATTATAGTAGTTATTCAGCATATATCATATATGGCTTTGGATTAGAAGTTTCTGAAATATGACCAGGTATGGTGGCTCACATGTGTAATCTCAGCACTTTGGGAGGTTGAGGTGGACAGATCACTTAAGCTTAGGAGATGGAAACCAGCTTGGGCAACATGGCAAAACCCCACCTCTACTAAAAAAAAAGTATAAAAATTAGCCAGGCATGGTGGCTTGCAGCTGTAGTCCTAGACACACTGGTGGCTGAGGTGAGAGGATCGCTTGAGCACAGGAGTTGTAGGTTGCAGTGGGCCGAGATTATGCAACTACACTCCAGCCTCGGCAATAGAGCCAGACCATATAAAAAAAAAAAATTCTGAACTAATTGTAACCAGTGCAATTGTATCATATGGAGTGGTGATGTAAAAAGATGGCTAAAAGGGGTGGGTGAGAAAATGCATATGTGCAAATACACTCACATGCATGAGTTTCAGAGAAAACAAGAATAAGAGAAACACAAAGAGCAAAGACTTGAAGAAAAGAGAAACATGTTATTGGAAAAGCATTTGGTATGAGAAGGAGTCACACTGCAGCAAAATTATCTCTTTTTTCATTAAAGCTCAGTACAAGTCAGGGACAGCAGTTACCAGAATATCAATGTAAAAACATGCAGTGAGTCAGCAAATATTTGGTGAAGAAAAACATGGACGTGAACCCACAAAAAGCCTATACACAAGGACTTAGAAGAAATAACTTTCCCAAGGAAAGACAACATATTGAAACCAAAGCTGCTGGTACCACAGCTCTGACTTCACTTTTTAATACATGGGATTTGGTCACTCAAGCACAGAGGTTCAAATGTTATTTGACTTGTGCAACTGAATGAATGAGTTAGATTTGCTTATTGAATGGTTAAATCAGCATGCCAAAAACAACAACAACACGTCTCTTCTCACAAGGCCCTCATCCCGGAGTTCTCTCCATTATCCATTGTTAACACCATACAGGCAGTCTTCAGTTTTGAAACCCAAACACTTCAAATGGTCACTGAGGAAGTACATATGGAAGGGATGCCCTAGGCAAACAGGGACAATGTGAAACGTGTGCCTCACTTTGGTCCCCCAGCCACCTACCCTGTGCCCTCGGCTCCACTCAGATAGATGCGCTAATGGATTTGCCATGCCTTCGAGGACAAGGGTACTGCTCCCTCACTGCAGCCTGTCCAACGGGCATGAAAATCCTTGCCTCTTTGCTAATACAGCCAAGGTTAGCAAGTTTTCTTAGCTGAAAAATAGGAAACTAGATTAAAAGTATATATAAAAGGTGCAAGGTAGGGTTTACTAACCATCACACAATAAAAGGTATCCATAGGTGACTGACTGGAACTATTTGTAGGGATGAAAGAAAGGGAATGACTTAGTCTCCAGTTCTTTCCTGAAGCCTCCAGTCCTCTCTAAATCCAACACTGGGTGAATATAGGTAACTTGTAAGCAGGGGAAATTAGAATCTACAAAGTGGGAATCATCAGTTCTTCTAAGGACCTGCTGAACAATGATGCCCCATGGCCCCAAGCTCAGCAACATTTCCAGTCTACAGCCATGAACATTCTTCCTGGTTCCTGAAGTCCTGGATGAAGAAAGAGACCCTTTACTATTTGACTCCCCAACCTACTCCTTCCCTAATGTGTCCATAACACCTGTCGCCTGGAAATCCCATCCAGGTCTCTAAGCCTACAGGGCCAGGCAGGGAAAGTCACAATTGTGATTCAGGCCTGATAGGGGATAGAAAGGGCTCTGAAAGGGGGCAGCCACTGCTGAGCTCCAGTGGACTGTTGCCAAGAGGAATGGGGCCCAGTGTTGCTAGATCTTCTGATTTTTCAAGGGAAGTCAGAGATCCGTATTTTTATGTGAAATATGATTTTTAAACTTTGGCAAACAATTTGAATTATAATAAAGCACTGTGTGTGCCAGATGAGTCCTGCAGCCTATTAAGTTTGGTTCCTCACCTTCTTGATTCTGTTCATTCACTGGCCTCCCATGGGGCCTTGATGGAAATGCTGTGTGTTTCTTTAGAAATATTCCCATCAGCTGGGAACAGTGGCATGTGCCTGTAGTCCCAGCTACTCAAAAGGCTAAGGTGGGAGCATTGCTTGAAGCCAGAAGTCTGAATCCAGCCTGGGCAAGACAGTGAGACCCTGTCTCCATCTCTCTCTCTCTCTCTCTCTCTCTTTTTTTTAATGAGTTTTTTTCTTTTTCTTTTTCTTTTTGAGATGGAGTTTCGCTCTTGTTACCCAAGCTGGTGTGCAATGGCGCGATCTCGGCTCACCGCAACCTCTGCCTCCTGGATTCAGGCAATTCTCCTGCCTCAGTCTCCAAAGTAGCTGGGATTACAGGTGCCCATCACCATGCCCAGCTAATTTTTGTATTTTAGTAGAGATGGGGTTTCACCATGTTGGCCAGGCTGGTCTCTATCTCCTGACCTCAGGTGATCCACCCTCCTTGGCCTCCCAAAGTGCTGGGATTACATGTGTGAGCCATTCTGCCTGGCCCTGTCTCCATCTCTTAAAAGAAAAGAGAAAAGAAAAAGAACTCTTAAAAGAAAAGAGAAAAGAAAAAGAAACATTCCCATCAAATTAGTTCACTGAGGGCCAGAAGAAAACATTTTGTGTCATAATTTGTCAAAACCTAACCTCAGTTTTACACCACTCATCATATCCCTGAAACCAATAAGGGGCATTTCCAATTGTCACCTCCTCTGAAAGATGAGGGGCCAGCAGGTCACAAGCCTATTAACCACAGGGTCTTTCCCCACTCAGGCAACTGGGCCTGTCCAGCA